TGAATCCAATGACAATGTGTAATGTGAAAGATGTCACACATAGTGATGCATGTGTTACAGCTTGTTCTGATGCCCCCAAGTGGCCAGAGAAATCAGTTTTAAAAGTTGTGTACATGTAGCTCAGATTGAACATGTGGCAAAGTGTATTAGTCAAATCAAGTTTACAGTGGAAGGATAACACAAGGAAGGATTTTTTGGCAGATACACACTGGATTTGTCTAAAGACTGAAGCCTGCTGAAGCCTCGTATTAACTTCTGCAAAGCTTTGGAATATGTTTTTACCAAAACTAGGATGTTGGACTTTGTTAGAGACTTTCAATGTAAGAGTCTCTATGAGACTAGACTAGAGTTTCTATGATCTGGAACGTGAGCAGCTATCCTCTGTGTGACAGGCTGTGTGTATGTTGTCAGTAGGTGGCTTTAGTAGTTTTACCTTTCATTAGAGGGGTCTAAGCCAGTGATTGAAATACATACAAGGTTCGATAACCCACATACAAATACACAAACGAAGGAGTCTCTGTCCACAGTATTAACGGATTGTCAGTATATTTGAGGCATGTTCTCTTCCTTTACCAACCTCAGATCCCGATGCACCTGCATCCCTGACCCCGCCCATCAACAGACCTACCCAATCGGAACAGAAGACGCCTGCAGCAAGACAGGTGAGTGACTGTAAAATAAATGAATCACTGAACAATGCCGAACAAAGTTTTTTTTTTTTTTTTTTTTTTTTTTGTTGGGGTTTTGGTAGAAAGAAAAAGGTTTTTGTTCTACGGCATAAAATATGTCAGTAAATACCAAACAAGTGAATTTTCAAGTGTATCTTTAAAAAGTGCTTGCTAACAAGTGGCTAAACGAGACTACAGAGGTTGTCGGGGGACATTAAACGTCAGCACGCCGAGATCTACAGTCTAGTCCGCCTTCACAGCTTGTTGTGGATATACTCACGGTCTTGCAAACTATTCTAACTCAAACTTTACAACTTGCAGATAATAACAAGATTTAATTGTGGTGGGGATGTTGAAGTCATGCAACTGTGGTGTAGTTTGTTTATAGCATTAGCTTTCTACTTCTGTCAGTCATAGAAGTGGTGTACATTTGTTAAGATTATCTTGCTGAACAAAATGTGTATCATAAACCTTTGTTCGCCTTGCAACAATCCAAACTCCAATAGAAAAATCTCATTACTTTTAGATTAGAGTAGCACTCTATTACACCTGTGCTTTCCCTGCTATGATGAGCTAAGATGTCTGCAGTGAAAAAGGTCTAAAGGGCACACAGAACATCATTCATTCACCAATGCTTTGCAACAGAACATTAGAGTCAACGTCTGTCCTGTTAGCAGATGCAGAGTGTCTGCAGAGAGCAGTGGAGGGGAGAGCTGCCTCTGATGAAGAGGAAGACGACCGGGGGATGAGGGAGGAAGGACAGGGCAGCCTGTCGGAGGCGAAGAAGCACATGAGCTGGATGCACAGCTGTGGCAAAGGGTTAGCTAACATCTAAGGCACACTCACCACCACTGTGCACACCTGTCTCCATTCCAAAGGTCAGATGTCACTTCTCTCGTCTCTTCTTCCAGATGTCAGAGCCATGCAGTCCACCAGCTTCCCTCTCAGAGTCACCTGCACGATAAAAACCTCATCAGCACTTTTAAGGACAGCAGGGGGCGCTGCAGCTGGAAGGGACAAAACCAAGAGCAGCCAGAGGGAAGCAGAGGTTGTGAAAAAGAAAAGGTGAAAGAGAGAGAGATGATAACGAGAAGATAAGATGGCAAGTTGAATGGCTTCAACTGCAGACTAGGTTACAAACAGTTTTAACCCTAATGTCAGATTAGGATAGAATAATTCATTTGTTCCACCTCCTGTTTGCCAGAGGCCCGAGGAAGAGGAGGACAAGACGAGTCTGAGGGAGAAAGAAAAGACACGTCTGTCTTTGCTGGAGGAGAAATTTGCAGATGCCCTAACACTGCTGCTACAGCTACGCAACAAGGTTCACACACAATACACACACACACACACACACACACACACACACACACACACACACACACACACACAACGGTTCACCTCAGGCATACACATGCAACTCTTCGGTGCCATCTAGTGTTTATTCCATTCCTGTTGGATGTGCGCAGTTTTCATTGATTAGTGTCTCACAGGGCTGATATGGCAAGAAAATAGGATTTTAGTTACCTTCTTCCCCTTTTATGTAGGAAATCACCAAAAAGTTCAGGAATGTCATCTTCTCTGGTGGTAGCAGTGATCACAAAGAAAGACTGTTGATGAACTTTTTGCACCGTCTCTTTACGTTGATGCTGAGTAATAAACTAAGCTCATAATCTCTCCTAGCGTGTTAACCAGCTATGTGCAGCCTTTTTGAGATAATACATAATGTGTATGTGTACTGTGTTTATGTACAGCAGCAGCTCAATGGTTGATTCAGAATTACTTTAATGCTGTTGCTCTAGCTAACAGGCTAAATTTAGTAGTAGCTGTTTACCTTAGCTTAAGAGAGGCAGTGTGCGATCTTATGAATAGTGAGTAAAGTGGCATGAAATAAAAGTGTTAATGGATATGTAGGCTTATACATTTCACACAGTGTATGTATGTTATGTTAACATTATGTCATTATTTATTTCATAATTACATATTTATTTATTTATTTAACATTGCACCCTTTGGGCCTCCATACAGTTCCCCTCTAATGATCTAACTAAGGTATTTGGCTGGACAATATACTGTATGTAATATGTTTGTGAGTTCTTTTGGGATTTTTGTTATTGTTGCTTTGCTTTTGGTACGCGTTTTTCACGTTTATTGTTGTTCACTAAAAAAAGAAAGTAAAGCTTCTCTTTCCTTTCTTCTCTAGAACGTGTCACGCAGGGCCCTGGGGAAGATTGTGATGGATACTCTGGACGTGTGCAGTAGGAGCGGGGACGGTAGGTCTGATCTTCCAGTTGCCCGAGTACTCATGTTTTAGTGTTGCTCATTGCTTACATTTTTCTTGGCGCTTTGCCCATCCAGGTCCGTCTCAGGTCCTGCAGGTAGCTGACGCCCTCTGTGTCCGCCTGTCCTCCAGGGATCTCCTTGGAAACGGAGGGGGCGATGAAGCAGGAGACAGCAGAGAGAAACTCCTGCTTCCATCCTCTGGCTGTCAAACCAGCAGCGTCAACCCTCTGCTCATCTCCTGTTAGATAAGCTACTGCGGTGCTACTTTTAGTTGATCCTTTAACTTTCTTTATCTTTTGCCTGTTTGCACCCATGTATGTTGTGTATCCTAATTTTTTTTAACTAATTCAGTGTATTTAAAAATTAATCTTATTTACTTTATTCAATCCATATGTGTTCTATTTTGTATCTATTTAATTTTAATGATTAAATTTTTTTTCGAACCCTTTGTTCACTGTGTAAGTTGATAGATAAAGCTCTGACATCATGAAACATAACTGGTTTCAGCATCATTCTATATCTTAAATGATATTTACTATAAATCTAAAGATCCCCTCCAGACATGTATTACCATACAATTAAAAATAGTCTGCTTAGAACAGTAATGTGTGTCTGCTATGTGGCATCTACTCCTTCTACCTCATTAAAACTTCCAGAATCTCTGAATGTGCAAATGTTCATTTCTAAAGTTTACCTGCTGGACACAAGATGTCTCCTACTTCACTGTAAAGTCCATTCACAGTGGATGTGCACTGGTGCCTTCTAGTCTCTACATCACACTGTACAAGTTGCATACTGGACTAGGATGGACTTCCAGACTATTTGTGATCACAAATAGTCTGGAAGTCCATCCTGGTCCAGTATGCAACTTATGTCACATATCCTGCTGGAGCACAGACCAAAGAGAAACTTTCCACTTTCAGCAGATGAATGTGAAAACATCCTTCTAGTGTCAGACCCTGCACAGACAGCATTCAAATAGCACACTGTAGGAACAAGAAGAAAATCAGATTTTTGAGTGGAGGGGGACTTTTGAGACTCACATCAGCCTGTTACACATCTACTATACAAATTAAAGGGCGGGTAGCCTTACTTTGGAGCTTCATCTCTGCTTCTGACCAACAACATCTGTACTACTGCTGTCATTTTTTATTTGAATTTTTAAAATTTGTCTGAATGTCGTTCATCAAATTAAAAATGTACTGTCTATAAAGGCAACAGGCCGTTTGAAGTAGCTAACCGTGTGATCCAGCAAAGGGAGCTCCACTATCAGCTTTCCTATTGACCTGTTAGTAAACTAAACTAGTAATGTTACACTGTTTACTACAAAAATGGAGGATTTGTTCGAACATGATTATAGCAGAGGAAAGAGGAGCAGCCTTAAGAGCACCGGCACTGGACAAAAAGGACCTGTATCAGGAAAGCTGTCCCACCAGGAAATTCTGAATGCAAATTCAACCAATCCCCATGAATTCTGTGCGACCTTGCAATTGCAGTGTGAACTGAAATGATTTTAGAAAAGCTGCTGTGAAAACAGGCCTTTTAGGTCGCAACAATCCCAAAAGATGCCTATGAAGTACTGGGAAAGATCCAATGGTATATGTTCCTATGTTTATGAACCTGTATCCAGATCTGTATATCGTATCATATTATATCAAAATAAAATCTGTCAAAGATCCAGTCTTTAAACTTCTGCATAGTGCCCCTAACTGTCTGTACACAAACGTATCACCACCTTCGATAGTACCGTATTTTTGTGCATTTCTGCCATTTCCTGTCAGATCACAGACACATTTAATATAATATTTTTTTGGGGGGGGGCTTTTATTGCCTTTTTAATTGATAGAGACAACTGTAGGTAGACAGGAAAGGGGGTCAGAGAGAGAGGGGATGACACACAGCAAAGGGCCCCAGCTCGGATTCGAACCGTGGGCCGCTGCAGCAAGGACTCAGCCTCGGTACGTGGGTCACCAGCTCTAACCACTGAGCTAACCAGGCACCCACAGACACCTTTACAGTGAATGCTGACACAAACAGACAATGAGACGGAGGAATGGTATGAAATAATATAGTCCTTTATTTCCAGCAATTTACAAAGTCCTGCAGGGAGAGAGCCTTCTTCCAGCCTCACAGAGGGAGGGCTTTAACAAGAAGAACGCACAGAGAACGCAAAGACCTCGGCCCCAGTAGGACTGTACATGTTTTACATCAGTTTTTCAGAGGCAGCGGAGCTGACTGGGACAGGTGATTAAAGGCTCTGTCTTAATGTGGAGGCTGGCAGCCTGAGGATCAGTGCGGCTCGCTGTGAGTTCAGGGGCTCGAGGGTTTGAAGCACTGAGGTTAACAAGGCAGTAGGTGGATGAAGGGTTTTTAAGGCTGGGTATTTTATACAGGGGTGAAACATCTGGAATCATAAGGAGAAGTAGCATTGTGTACTTTTTGTTTGTTTGTGGGTTCAAATCTTACTTCTGTTGGTGCTTAACTTGACTCCTTTTTAGATGCCCTGCACAACCCGCCTAGCTCTTCAGCCTCCGAGTCCTCATTTTTTGCAGATTCACGTGACCAAAAACCTCTCTCCTCTCCACTGCTGCATCATATAAAGTCATTATTACATTACACATCATGATCAACTGACTGTACATCTTTTATTAATCAAAGCTAATTAAAGAGACGCTACTCTGTGGCGAACCTAGCTCCTGATTGGTTACTCTGAGTTGAGCTTGGCTCTGATAGGTTAAGGCCATTCTATGTCTTATAAGTATGCTCTCCCTGTGTGGGACAGGGTGTGTGCGCGTATGTGTGAGGTGTGTAAAGACTGGTATTAGGCACTGTGCTATTCATTAGCCTCACCGCCATTCTATTGCGGCATGCACCAAAAAGCTCTACTGGCCTTTTGCAAAAGGAGAAAGAAAAAAAAAAACATAAAAGAGAGGAGAAAAATGACATCAACATGGTGACAACGAAACTGAACCAAAATGAAATGACAAAATAAACAACCTCATATATAGAATAAATATAGTATGTACAATTTGCTTTGTGTGCTTCTAAAAATAAATAGACAAAGCATTACTTGCCCCCTTATAGAAGTATTCACAACTTTCCATTGACACAGAGGCAGAACGCTGGCACCTGCTCAGTAAGAGAGTGGAGGATGCAGACTGAAGGTGAACAGACAGAAGGATGCAACTTCCACAAACAAGTCAAAACGCGGTAGAAAAGAAGACAAAATAAATGTCACTGCGGGTGGACGTGTGTGTGGGTTTGAATCCAGAGGACACAGAGACGCACTGAGAAGCTGTACAGTTGAGAGGATCCCTGCGGTGCCCTCTGGTGTCCGTTTTGCAGATTACAGTACTTTGTGCATTTGACCAGCGGGGAGAAGTTGCTTCTTCATCATTACAGTGGTTGTTTGATGAGATTCGTGACACAAAACAATAATCGCGAGGAGTTAAAAAGATTAGGGAGAGGAGAAAAGGAATAGAAAAGAGAAATCACAATTTTAACATAAGCGACACATTTAAAAAGAAAAAAATCAGTCAGACCAACAAAAAAAGAAAAATCATTAACAGGTAAAATAATCAAGTTTGTTGCACATTCACACTATGTGCCCTGCACATGCATTCTGCTGGCCCCTTCGAAACAGCACAGAAGTCTGACAAGTGCCGGATAAGTCAAGCATCACATGCAAGTTTCTCCTAAAGACACTGCCTCTGGGCCGACGTCTGTACTCGGTACAGTCTGTCAAAATGGCTAACCACTTCCTTTTTACCTGCTCCTCACCTGTGAGCCCTCAAAAAGAGAGTCAACTCAGGTCAGCTGAGTCTCAAAGTCTGGTGGCGGGTAGCTGGTGTGTGTGTGTGTGTGTGTGTGTGTGTGTGTGTGTGTGTGTACGCACTAAGGTTAAACTGACGTGTGGCTAAGATTTTGCCCTTTGATTAAACATCGTCCAGTCATTTACTTATCAAAAGGTCAGGTTCTCCCCCGACCAGAGAGATTATTATTAGTCATCCTATCATTTTTATATGTGACAAAAGAAAAAAAAAATACATTTTCTGGAAGAATTTCCAGAATTTTACTACAACCCACTCTACAGAATTTGAAAAAACCTAACTAACTAAAAGCTAACTGTTAAACTCATTGGTCTTTCATTGATTCAACGCTCCAACGTGGTCTAAATTGCATTCTGGGAACCAAAAGGGTCAAATGAAAGATCTAAAGACATCAAATACCCACACAAAACATCAGCAATCAGTACCTTTCATCTGGTGTCAGACTGTGGTAGCTGAAACCGAGCGAGCTCATCCTGGCAAAAGCAACCTAGCACACTTTCACACTGTGTACTCTGCTAGTTGTTTCCAGTGCGTTGCAGCATGTTGAGCCTCCTGTCACTTACTGTAAGCCTGGCTTGGGCAACACAACAACAATAACAACAACTAGCCTGCTCCAGTAGAGAGTTGGCAGATGGTTTCAGACAGGGGGGACTGGTGCTATTCTCACCTGGAACAGCTCGCGGCAAAATAAGACCTCTCTAACCTCTTGGCATCCAAGGAAAAACCCCATCGTGAGCTGCAACGAACAGTGAGGTGTGTGACACATTCCTAACTGACAGTTATGACATTTTCCACTTACTATTTCCCACTGTTTCTGTGTGTTTGCTCAAAGACTCTTGCATAATAATGGTTTCTAGAGGATTTGGCCAAAAAAAGCAAGTAAAGGAGGAATAAAATATGGGTTTTGTGTGAAAGAAAAACACCTCGTTTTAAATTGGCATTCATTAGGCGATTCCTGACTCCAATCAGAGGCAAAGCTGTTCTGGTAGTGGCTGACGTAAGCATTTGTTGGACTGTGATCTGATATCCCTAATTCTCAAGCCCAGAATTGAGGGGAAGTGAGCGCAGGAATTACACTCCTGGTTCTTGTTCCGACTCAAATTAAGCCATCCGCTGATGGGAGCGATGCCAAAAGGGATTTAGCTTGTTACGTTTGTGGTCCAGTCCCCTGTGGTAAAACTCCCCCGAACCCTGTTCCCTACTGTCACAAGGCCAAAGTAAAACAGAGGGAACTGCTAGCCCTATGCACTCTACTAAATCAGAAATGAGACACATTAGATTTCATATGATGTAGATTCATTCTGGATATATGACATAGCACTTGGTGATCAAGCATTCTAGGCTTGTTTGGATAGATTTTTTGCTGTCTTTTGTCTCAAGTGTTCAAACTTGATACTTAAAAAAATGGGAGGGCTCAACGTCCCCATCGAAAATAATGAGTACTGGCCCCAAAGAGATATCAATTCATATCAAATGCATTATCTACCAACAATCATTGTCAATAGTTTCATAATAGCAAAAGTAGTCGGACTCAGTTATTAAGTAAAATAAAGGATCGGTGTAGTCTGTGGGTCAGGATCCATCAGGTGGTTGAGGTGGAGATATGCGTGTATCTAAGGTGAAACACAAATACTGTCCAGTATTCTGGGCTGCTGCTGTGGTGCATCAGTGTCCTGATATCCTGATGATGAAACGTTACTGCCCTGCGAGTGCACTGCACCATCAGTCAGAGCCCTACAGGAGATTAGCCCTTTTATTGTAGACGATGTCCACTTCCAGATAATGTTCAGGCATACAGGTGATACTCGACACTGTCCGTGCGTGCAAGCGTGCGGTGTGTGATTTTCATTTTTTTGTGTGTGTGTGTGTGGGTGTGTATGTCTGTTGCGTGCATTCAGTTGCCCGCGTTACTGTCTCTGTCCCCGATGAACCAGCGCATGTGGAAGCAGAGGGCGAGGAAGCCGGTCCCCAGCAAGTCACCCAGAGCGGTCAGGTAGGGGATGGAGAAGTTGTCGGGGTCCATGCCTCTGCCCCACATCCAGTGGACCATCCAGTCTGCCAGGTAGAGAAGGATTATCACCTGGAGGAAGACGAAGCATACGCAAACTTTTTATTTACAGGAACCACAGAGGTTTTGCTTTGTTCTCAACAACTAAAGGAAGGCTGTGTTTGATTGACTGTGCAGACGGGCTTGTAATGACAACAAATCAATCCTGGATCTTGGACAATACTTACTGGGGCTGCCATCCACAGCTGGAGTATAGACTTGTACAGATCTAAGCTGCTAAATAAATGTATTTTCTTTGCAAGGAAATGCATACATAACTTTCACTGGATCCAAGAAAGAACACTGTCTGTAATCAAGCATAAACCTATCGTGACATCATCCATTGGTTTTTGGAGTAGTGTTTAAAAGCCTCGAGTTTGGCATTATGGTTGTCAACATGACCCAGTGGAGGTGACATCATGTGAGTTGAGCTGCTCTCATTCGACTCGGAAACAATAGCGTAGCAGGAAACAATGGCAGCTCGCCGAGTTACACAATTTCGTATTTCAGATAAACAGTACACTAAAATATGTGTCTAAAACAATTTTAGGTGGGAAACAGTCTAAACACAGTAACATAATCTGGATCCATATTTGATCTAGCATGTTTTGTGCATTAAGCTTTAAAAAATGTAGGACATACATTTTTTGAAATTATAATAAATAATGTTCAACAGACAAAACCCTTCTGTTTTCATTCATCATCATTGTAACTGATGATAATAATTATAATAGTGTAATACGGTTATATGGTAATATTTTCTGCGACGGTTGAGCAAACCTATTGAGAAGAGAGAGTCATGATGATCCTAATATTTGGTAACAGCTATCAAATTGAATGTTTTCACTGGCAGTGCAGCGGAAATTCCTAATCAGGTCACAATCTGACGGAGCACAGAATATGATGCTTAATTATGAGATCCTGATCCTGTAATTAGAGAAATGTTCCTCACAATTATGGAGATGTAATATAATGTTAGGTCTGTAATTATCTTAGATAGTAAGTCATAATTATGAGATAAGGTAGTGCGGTTGCAAAGTTTTGCTCAGTATTTTGGAGAAGCCACAGCAAATTCATTGCAACCTCGTAAATCACACAAGATAATAAAAAAGTCATCCTGGGTGAAAAAACTAAAACGAAACAAAAATATGTTTATTAGACGGCAGAAGCTCTATTCAAAAAAATCTAATTCTACTTTATTGTTTACATGTGCACACCAATACTGGGTGAATATGAATGCACGTAATAAAATAATAAAAATAGCAGGCTAGTTGCAACTATATACTTGGAAAATTATTATGAAAAATGATGAACCTTGAACCTGTTTGACTACAGCTGGAGTTCTGCTTCTCCAATCTGTACATAAGCTAACGTACAGGGGTGTTACTCAAACACATTTGCAGGTTTGTTTTATACTTATACTTCTATAATGTAAGTGTCCATGAGGAAGCAGCGTCTTTAAGAGAAATGTTGTTATGTGCTCTGCTAGGCAGGAGATCACTTGTGGCAGTTCCAAGGGGGATCAACCAATCAGATACATTTACATTTAATACATTTAATCTGCGTGTTATGGAACTCTCAGTGAACAACATGGTGTGAGCACTGTGTACATACACTGCACCCAGTTTTAGCTTGCCACATATTCCATACTCGATAGACATGTATAAAGACGGACAACATGACAGCTCTCTAAAAATAATTTTTTCCCAAAGATGCTTTCGGTCCTTTTAGTTAGTTCTTATCACGCTGATGTATGTTCTAGTGTTAATTTCTCTGGTAAGTTTGGTTTTAATGAGTCTGAATTAACAGAATCTGAATAATTTCACCAATGTGAGATGGTGGCACCCATATCGGGGATATTTTTCTATCTTTTATATGTTGATGGTGTGTACCTGTAGTAGTGCAGCAGCCAGGTAGAAGGTAATGAAGATGGGTGTCAGGGTGGTGTGCCCCCCCCTCAGGGAGTTGATGGTGTAGAGGAAGACCAGGTGACCCGGGGCAACCAGTAGGAAGAGCACACGGGCCGAACGAGAGTTCACAGCTAGAAGAGAAAGAGGACCTAGTATTAAACCAGTCTTTTTTTAGGACAGACGCTGGCACTAAATGCAGAACGCGGGGTGGACCAAATCCCAATGACAAGCCGTCATGGAAAGATCTGCGTCCATGAGATAAAACAAAGAGAGAAACAGTGGAACATTCCACAGCCGCCCGTCAACTTACAGGAGCCGAAGAAGGAGGTGCAGGGTGTGGGGCACTTCCTGGGGACGGGGTTTGGATCCCCCATGGGTAGACCGTTCATGTGCAGATAGGTGGAGATTCGACTGGCCTGAACCGCGACCAGGTTACCTCCCACACCTGACACGCACACACACACAAGCAGAGTGGAAAAGCCAGATAAAATAACAGATATTGATTGATCAAGTTCCAGTTCTGCTGTTTTAAATCTCTTGATTATGACTTCTCAGTTCTCAAGACTAAAAACCTGGCATTACGGAGATAGGAGGTTTTTAACCCAGTGAGAGCAATATGCCACCTCCATCTGTCAGTTTTAAAGGATCACCACTTTGCACGTTCGTTTGCTCACATTTGACACATCCATCTGTTATTCAACCAGGCGGAGGAGGTGACATCAACTTCAAATACACACTTCAGCGCAAGAACAGATTTTTCTATATTTGTTCTCCGCCTGCGTGGATGAAGCATCCATCTCGCCACCACTTAGTAACCTATTAGCTGTTTTTTATCTACGCCACTCACTCATCTCTTTCTTTCTGTATCTTATTTCCCCAAAGCGAGCATTAAAGTTTTCATCCTTTAGGTTTTGTGACTGCTCACCGTTGATGACCGGGGTGAAGACAGCCATGCCAGCAAAGTTTGGGTTGGTGACAGTCTTGTCGAGGATCAGACCACCAACACTAAAAGACAGACGAGAGGGATTAACTGAAGTGCTGTGTGACCTGCCGTCATTACATAGAAGATACATGAAGACCCATCACGAAATTGACCCTTACTTAATCCCGCCCCCTTTTCACTGTGCTCCAATAGCAGTTGAGCTGGTGGAACGTCAGGCAACCTTCTCTTTCCTGTACTTAGACATGCTATATGGTATATAGGTTAGCTAACAAACTACATAACAACTGATATAGATTAGCTGGCTACTTAGCCAACTTTTTGCTAACATTAGCAAAATGTAGGCAAATATCGTATTTTTTACTCTACTTTTTACTACTTATTATTTGACAGCTTAAATTATTAGTTTCTTTTCAGATTACAATTCCTCTACAGTGAACACCACCTATCTCTAAATTTGGTGATTGTGAATTTGAATATTTTGAATAACCTGAAGGAGGAAATGTTTCTTTATGGGCTGAGGCAATGTTCCTACTTTTTAAGCAAAATAATCTATTTGAGAAACTTCTTGGATTAGATATTAGTTAGTTACATGGTTCTCACAGGACAGCCATGCTACAAACATATGATGATATGATGCACTGCTGTAGATGAAACTACCCAACAGTATATAGAAAAACATGTATATTATATTAAAGTATGTACAGCAGTAAAATGCAACCTACACATTGATGTAGCAGTAATATTAATCCAAAAACATCCAATATAATAGTAACACACTGACAGGGAGCATTCCACTGCACTATGACTTTTGATTCTTTGAGTACATTTTGCTGATAATACTTACATAATTAAGATTTTGAATTCAGGACCTTTACTTTTAATAGTATCTTGTAGCAGTAGTAACTTGTATTAATACTTACTACTACTGATATGAAGATTTTCTTTACTTTTAGTATACTGTCTGATTTCAAAGTAGAAAATTACATAAATGCAAAAAGTAAACTTGTAAATAATTTTACAACTACAGTCTTCAAATGAATAGTTTGTTGTTATAATATCTAATAGTTATATTTAAAAAAACTCTACCTGCTGATGGCCATGGCGATGATGACCGGCTCCCAGCCGGAGTAGAGGAGCTCTCTGGTGGAGGGGATCCTCCTGGCTATCAGCACCCATAGGGGGCACAACGCCACAAACACCGCACACACCAGCGGGTTGGCGTAGTCATTGAACTCTGTGTGCGAGAAAGAGAAGGTGGATTCATACACCAATCACTTTAAACAAAGATCATAATCATAGTGCTTCAAATGGCATAAAGTCATATTAAAGTCCAACAGGTCAAACAACAAAAAAACAAAAGCTGAGTTTGACATTTAACCAATAAACTGTAGCAACTCTGAGCTTGTGAGGACTCGTTTTGGACTGACAGTAAATTCCAGTTGTTACCTCTAGGGTGCAGCGTTACCACTAAGTTGACTCTACGGGAGACAACCACCACAAACACAACATTTAAGCAGACAGACCCAGACACCGGCTGCGTTTTTTTGAGCTAAAATAACCCAAATAGGCTCAATGTAGTACCTGACTGTGGCATTTAAAGTGAGTCAGACAGTAAAGACTCCCAGACGACCGGAGGAGCTGTGGGATTACTCCACGCTGCTCCTGTGTGTGTCAGTGTTTGCCTGTCTGTGGAAACGATGGCTGTGTCAGTGGGGATCACAGAGCCAAATAGCTGTGGAGTTTCTCGCCCCTAAAACACAGCGAGGTTAGGTTAGGTTAGGTGTGGGCGGCTTTCATCCTTATTTACCGTGCAGCCAGATGCAGAGTCACATTTCACACGTTTCTGCACAGGCTGCTCCCTTTTAGGATAACATCTTCAAAGGCTTTTGAAGCCGTATCATAAACGTAGAAACTGTGATGAAACACGTGACGATTCAGTCTGTTGTTGATAGTTGTGTGTGTATTAGATATTTTTTCCTTTTTCCTGCCATGAATGCACAGGATATTTGTATCTGACATCTGAATAAAGCTGTAAAATAGTCATAAATATATTATATTTCTCCATCCGGTCTCCTCCGTATATTTCTTGCCCATGTTCAGCTCAGCACAGCCTGCACTGTATGCAATTAGCAAACGAGTGAAAACGACCCTATAAAATAACAAAAATGTCCTCCCTTCACCTGCAGCTGAATGATCTGTGAAGGCCAAAGACGTCATAAAAATTGTCCGACACTGATGTGAGCACAAATAAGCACCAGATACTAAATGTATCAGATTTAATCTGCGACCTGTGTTTGTGTTTATTACCTAGTTCCTTGTACAGTCCTGTTGAGACGCCTGCCAGCAGGGACAGGGTGATCAGGTCTCCCAGGCTAGCAGCGATGGGCGTGGCCACATTGTCCGGGTTGATGCCGACTTTCCTGGACGCGATGATCACGCCGATCATGATGAGCCCTGCGGGGGTTTTAGGTCGGAGATGTCACAACGTGGAACAACACGCACAGTTGCATAGTGTTTACATGTGATGTTCTATGTAATAATAATAATAATAATGCTGATGTTCAGTGTAAACATCTATTGTCAGGGTTCTGGGGTCTTATTGGCTGTTAACTTCAAAACAAGTGAATGGAGCAAAACACGGGGAACATGTTGACTTTAAGGGTGCAGCCAGAGTGTTTTCCAGGAGGATGGATTGGGATTCTTTTGTTTTGAAGCTGATAAAAACAAAACCTGAAGGTTAAAAACATAAAGTGAGAAGATCTGAAGCACATACATTTTATGTTCCCTCACATCAGAAATAGAATACATCCTGTTTCCTACAGCACAGTGTTTACTGCAGGTTACAGTGAACGGGGTTCTGTCGCTTAAGGACAGTTTAAGATATGCCTTGTCTCATGGAAAGGGTGCCATGGTGTTTTTAAATTCAATGATTTTGTCACAGAGGTCCTACGGTTTGACTGCCTAGTACCAGGCCAACCAGTTAAATCCATTGAGTGTCTTTACAATCAGGCCTTGAAAATCTCAGACAGAAAGCAAATAAGGTACCATCATTGCAGCATTTTAGTTAAATACCAGATCTTAAGCTTTGCAAATTGTATTGCTTTTAATTACGTAAAGATTGTTTTAAATGTTTAAATGGACTTGCCCCTCAGCCTCTCTGCAAATACATGGGCCTGCAGAGCTGCAGCACATCCACCACATTGTAAAGTTCCATTCTGTAAAACATATTTGGCCCAGACAGTTTCGTCTGTCAGAGGAGCAAAGTCCTGGAACTTGTTTCCTGATCACTTTTATACTAACTTCATAATTTTTAAGTTTAATGTTGTTAATTCAGCAACAACCTGTACTCATGAATAGTTTTGAAACGAGACATCTTTAATAATTGTTTCACATGTTTTTTACTAATTAATGAAACACTGTGTTTGTGGCTACAAGTAAATGTACATCATTAATTGTACTCAGCAGTAATATTTAACAATTTTACTGTGTCATATAGCTAGCTGAATGCACTTAAGCACCTAACTGTACAACTAAACATCCAGGAGTTCAGACAGTTACATTAGCTATCTTAGGTGGCATTTAGTTGAAACTGTAGCTGAGAACAGAACTTTAGCGCTGGCACCGACAGTGAAACGTAACCCATATATGCGTAATGAGCAGCTGTTTACACTGTGAATATCCCTCACATCCTGTGTGCGGGCCATACAGTACCTAGCAGCAGCGAGGCGATGAAGGCCGTAGCCACACTGGAGGCACACAGCAGCACCGCGTGGCCCAGCCGGAATTGTCCCTCTGGGATCCAGCCGAAGATCACAGCAGCTATGGAGGCCAGGAACCCCACCACAGTGGCCTGGACCTGAACACACACACATGCACATTAAAATGGTTCCTATGGATTACTGTTAACATGTGAACTCTCGTTACATGTCAGCAGCTTTGAGAGTCTGCACACTGTGGAGGTATACGTAACATATAGTGCCACAGTGCCACAGTCGACACAAAGTTAAGTGAGTAGATGAATCTCTCTCTGAATGGAGCCCCATTGTGACCCACAGTGACCCTATATAGGAGGTTGTGTCAACACCCGGCCAGCACTGGTTTAAAGTGTTCCAGGAAATATGGACTCACCAAATATTACATAACTATGAGCCCACTTCAAATGGCAGACCCTCAGGAGTTCATTTTGGGAAATGAAATACTGGAAAATGATCTATATATATATATATATATATATGTCCAGTTCGATAGAGGCAGTGGGACTTTATGTCCTTGTTTATGTACAGTAACACTGGTAATTTACAACTAGTGGAATGGCTGTTACACTAGCTGCTGCAGTGTCCTGCCAATGCTACTTCCTGTCCCACCTGCTGAAAGTTATTTTCAGACTGAGATATCTGTGACATCTCCTGCTACACCTGTCGGGCAGGACAAATTACACCTTCATCACTCTGTAGGTGCGGTCGGATCAGAAACACAGGGTGTAGCATTAGTGTGTAGCAGGAGCTTTAATCGTGTGCTTTCATTCACATTGTGTGTCGCTATGTGATTTCAGTCATGCAGTGCACACGTGTCATTGGTGTGCCCCGTAATGATCAGTCTCTGTGTTTACTGTACACACAGTGCAATTATCTAACCAGATTTTTCCCAGGTTTGGCAGTAATTTGATTCCTGAAATGTCATGAAAATCTGTTTCCTTTATCAGGTTAAGGGATCAAGAGAAAATTTCAACTCTGTTGAAGAAACCAGATTATTTTTGCTACAGTACTCAGGTTTTTAAAGTATGACAGAATGAAAAGAAACATCATTACTAGTGCCTGCGCAATTGTATTCAGATAAATCAATGCAAAGTTGCACGTAAACTGACCGTCTTCTTTCTGCGGCTTCAGTCAAAATTAGAATTTTTAGAAAAAGGGATTAATTTGCTGTTGTGGCGAAATCTGATTACTGACTGACTGCACGTAAACCGACTTTTAGAGCAATCTGACCACTGAACTGAACGGCACATTAACTTATTATCTGATTTTCTTGCCCTAACCGGATTTCTGCCTGTAACCTGGTTTGTTAAGTGGATGTAAGCGAGGTCAGTCCACTTCATCGTCCTCTACAGATGTGTTTCATTTACCTGGATGAGGGCCAAGTTCCCCATGATCATCTTCCACATGTCCTTGGCTGTGTCCATCTGACCAATATTAGCCTGAAGGGAGACAAGAGCACACAAAGTCAACACATTATCATCTATGTGTCTGTGTGTATGTGTGTGTGGGTGTACAGCGTGTGTACATGCTGTTGCCTCTTGGTCCCATCAGAACAATCAGATGTCAGTTCTCTGGACAAAGACACTCTGATCTGATCCCCCACCCTGTGGCCGACTCCACTTATCTCATCTCCCCTCTTTCACACACATACACACACATACACACATACACACACACACACACACACACACACACACACACTGATGGTCTCAAGTGTCAAGTGGCTGTGGCTACAGTGGGCTACTGTGTGTCCAGAGCAATGATCCTAATGCTCATCCACAGTGAGAGGACACAGACAGAGGGTCTCCTCTTCCTTTCCCCCTCTAACATTTACATATGCAGAGGGAAGGGAAACATCTGGACACATCCAAACACATGTAAGTCTGCCTGTGAGAATATCCGCTTCATGTTTTGGGTTAATAAAACAGTCTGAGTTTATATGAATATGTACACATTTTCCTTAATGGAGTTTTAAATGTTTGGAGAATGATTCCAGTTTATTAAAACTTTTCGCTTATTTCCATAGTGTTTGTACTCACTAATTTGAGATGTGGGAACACAGCAACAAACAGTCAGACAGGCTGTAAACAAGCTAACAGTATAGCCAGATTATCCATTCATTTGGAGGTAAAACTGCACTCAAAGTGTTGCTTAAACTGTGTGTGCATAATTAAGATGTAGAAGTAGATCAGGTCAGTGTTGCAGGGAGTCATTCTGGAAACAGTTTGGGTAACAAGTTTATAATACCTTTCTCTTTACAATATATTTGCCTAACCTGGTTGTCTGACCTGTTGCTTTTTGAGGGATGCCACTATGTCAGCAATTCACGAAATTACAGCTAACGTAACAAAAAAAAAATAGGACCCAAGTTATAATAAACCAGATTGTATCCCTGTGGCCTCTACGCTAACAGCTATCTGATAAACTTGTTTAGAATACATTTATTCTGGTATTGAGTAAATTGATCCTATTTCCTATAAAAATAAACTTATTTCAGTTGTACCTGCGTTAATAAATATGTTTGATATTAACATAAAATCAAATGCAAAAGACCACTCAATTTATCAGCTTTTTAGCCTCTTTGAGGCCATTGTTTTGGTTGTACAGCAACTTTTTTGCAGTACAGCAACTATATAAAATATCCAGCAGATAAAGACCAAGACATTTTTATCAGACGTTGTTTGAGAACCAGAGAGTGAACAGGGAAAGGGGAGAGTGAATACTGGACTTAATTGGTCTGACAGCTAGAAACAAATCTCAAAGGAAATGCTTATGTTTGTTATGGCTGCATATCTGTTAGCCTGTATTGATATTTGCAGCTTTAATAAATAAAATGTTGACTTTTATACACTGAAACTTTAAATAAATCCTTTTAATTGACTGTATTTGTTTCTTTTTCCAAAAAGCATCCAAAATTGCAAATGCAATTCATACAAAACATATAAAAAGGATTAGAAACAATATGTTAGGGCAAAACATAAAAACTATTAGTTAAAAAAAAACAACTGAGACTGGAACAGGAGTTTCTGAAATGCTCAAACAGCCTTGAAATCAATCCCATCATGACTATTCTACTGATAACTGATGAAGTTGTTAAATGTTAAAAATATTGAAATGCATAAAAAGTATCGAAAGGTTACAGAACTGATGAATAATGGAAAGCCACAGTGGGACGATCTCAATGACTGGGTGTTAATTTTTTTCTGTGTGTGGGTGTGTGTGTGTGTGTGTGCTTTTCCCACCCTCTCAAATTTCTCACAATCTAGCACCGTCCCTACTTGACAAACATATCTGGCAGCCTGACAGGAAGGCCTCACCAGCCCGACTGACAAGAGGACCATGTGTCCATGTGTGCCGGACTGTACGTCATTATAACTTGTGCATCAGCCAGATACACAGCATTACAGCCACGCCCATTAGCGCCATATGAACCTGTGCTCGTATGCCTCCTTCTATGCCGGGCAAGCTGTGGCTGACTGCCACAAATACTACTAAGAAGGTCTGAGGCAGAAAGACAAGAGAAAGCCAAACATCTGTGCAGAGCATGGTTGCCTTTGGACAGAACTTGAAATAAAACCTTTCAGATAAGCAGCCTTAGCTTTATACAGGGAGAGTTGAAAAGCTTTTTGCAACTCACAGCAAAACTGCGTACACAGATGAAGCTCAGACATTCGCAGTAGCATTGGCTGGTGATAATGTGTGATGATGATGCCAAGTCCTCGGCTTTGGTTGTACGTGTGTGGGCGGCTGGATTAGTGGTGTTTGGATCATCACAGAGATGGAGCACGGTGAATGTTGTGAAAGTGATTCACGGGTGACATAAGATGCATGAGAGGCTGAAATACCCAGCGTTTCAAAAGCACCATTACGTTGAATAATAATACTGTTCATTTTCAACTTGTTAACTGTGGGGAAAATCCGTTACAAGGTTGGAAGCTGAACGTAGGTGTTGAAACATCTAATACACACAAAATGAGGATAAGGTAGGCTTTTGTAGTGGTTGTAATCTCTGATACCAGTGTGGTCAATGTTGTGGTTTTTTGCAACTTGGAAACAGTTGCAACGCAGGCACTGCCAAGTTCCAGTAATCCACAAAATATCATTATCCAAATACGTACAATCAATTAGGCTCAATAACATGAGAAGGGATCAGATGAGAACAAAGAAAACAGCTGCTTGTTCAGATAAACAATGATGCAAATATGGAAACACAAGCCTCATTTCAGTTTAACATTCAAAGACAAAGAGGTCAAAAAGACCAAAGGAAAAAAACGCAAAAAGGAAACACGGTCATGTGAAATGAAAACTCCTACAGCCAGCCAGTACGAGGGATTACATTATTTTTTCAGTAATAAGCGCATTAGGAAACTTGCAGTGGTCTTAATCTGCTCATAATTAGCGGTGGCGTGGAAAGAAACGTGGTCCCGCTGGGCCCAGCCAGCAGAGAGTACAACAGTAATGTCTCAGGACAAGCACCAGACTCTGGCCTACTTTGTGACGATGGATGTGAGAATCATTTTGTGCTGAACTGAAAACTATGCAGACTGACAAATGGGACAGAAGTTAAAAATGTTAATATTAAAAAGTCATTCTATCTGCTAATTCTTTCTAAATATTTTCACTTTGAGGCACACTTGATTCCAGATTTAACATATTAGCCAGGCACCAACAACCATTGACAATTTGTTAAAGCAGTGCTGAAGCGCTAGTGAAACATTGTTGAATCAACTTCCCAAATCTGACATTGATTCACCATCACATCTGCCGTTCTGAATGAATATGGAAACAACATGGAATGTTAAAAAAATCGGTGGCTCAATAAATATTTAACTTTTCCAAATACTGTCACTATCAGTTCTCCTTCATCCACAGCCATGATTTGGCTTTTATTGTAAAAAGCATGATGGAAATCATATATATATGTTCTGTTCATGCGAACACTCTTTAAGATTCAATTCTTGAATAAATGTTTGAGTTTAGCTATACTATTTCTCAGTGTGGTTGATACCATAAGGATTTGGACATTTGATGAAACTGTAGCTATTTGTAGCTTATATGGATTAATGTACAATAGAAATTTACCAAGACATATTTTGGAAAACATGTCTGTACGGAAGGCTACATTTGCAAAAGCAGATGTCTCCATATTGATTTATTTTCTTAAAGCGCCCCTCCACTCAAAAAACTGTTGTTCTTTTTGTTCCTACAGTTGGATATTTTTAATATGTAAATTATAACTTAGTTTTCTGTAAAAAAAAACATATCAGACACACATTCTTGTGCACTATTCATCTTAATACATGTCTGGAGGGGATCTTTAAATCTTGTTTTTTGTGCACTCGCTGGAATATCAATAAAACTGATGTTTATTTGGTTTATTCATTGTAAGAATGGCTTTTTTTGCAAATGACTCTTCATCTTGTTTCGAAACTCAAAGAAAGATTATTTTTGTATTGTGACAGAGTTGAGCACACCATGCTGGGTGGGCTATGCTAATCAGCTTCATCATGTTTACCACCATCCAGTGGAAAGAATGTTAGGATTGGTGTGCTTAAGAGAAATACTGGGGTGTGCTGCTGACCTCTGGTTAGCAATACTGCTAGGTCATGGACCCCTCAGACTATACAATGGACAATGTTAGCTCAGAGAGCGGCATTATAGGCTCCTGGCTCCTCAATGGATGTTTGAAAAGTTTGGACATTTTTAGTTCAGCTATAAAGAGCAACCTGTGTGTTCAGGTGAATGGGCTGGGCAAGGTCAGTGAAATTGTTAAAAAAAAAAAGAATGGGTCAGGAATGTTGCTATCAGTTTGTGTGAAACCCAGGTCGCGTTTGGCAACGTGACCTCTGACTCCGAGAACAATCAGCTTTAATGGGTCTGACGGGGGTTGCCAAGCAATGACACAGATTGGGTACATTTTGAGGGGGAAACACTTTACACAACCACAATCTACTGAAACAATTCTCTGGGCTAACATTAAGTGTTATACACAGACAATGAATACAAAATCTCTGAAGTCTTACAGAAAAGATTTTTTGTAACTATTGTATAATGGAATAGAATACAACATATGGCTCTTCTGGTTGGACATACTGTAAATTTGGTTACTAGATACCTCACCGACACACAGACTCAAACACAAACACACTTGTTTCTTACCGCTGTGGAAAGTCTTGAGGCCAGCGTCATCTCCAGGTTGCCTTTGAGCCCCAGCAGTGCTGGAACCAGGATGAACACCTCCGACACCTCCGTAAACACCGTCCAGTGCTGAAACGACCACCATGTAATATCAGTAACACAACATCAACATAATGAACTCCATGCTGTATTGAAACGGGGCATATCAGAATTACTGAGACACGGTACAGTGTCACCTACATAGATACACTTTATCCTTAGTTGGGAGCCGAGTGTCTCTGTGACCTTGTTCTTTAATATTGATTCAGTGGTGAAACCAGAGCCATATGATGGAGCAGATAGTCTGTCTGTACAGACCCTTTACACTCGTATCATATCAGCTCTCTGCTCTCCTGTACCAGAACAAGGTCACTGGGACTTCAGGCTGACATGATTTATGATCCTCCGCTTTTGGCTTCCATTCTTCCCTTTCCCTTGTGATTTCATCTTTACCCACCGTTCTACTGCAGACTGGGCTGCTTCATATTTCACTAGCATCAAAATGGTACAAATTAGCAGTTATGATAATAAGGTAAAATGTGACAAAACAGCATTGTAATGAAGTACTGTAGTGCTGCAGAGATGCCCTGGTGTACAAAGTTTGTTCTCCTGATTAAAAAAATGATCATTCTCACACTAATCATGAATCATTTTGCAATATCTGTCAAACTAATTGCAATAAGATGTTTTAACCATATTGTGCAGCCCTTATAATGATGTTATTACTTTAGCAAACACTCAATTATTTCTGTCAATACACATGGGCAGTGCACACTAATGCCAAACTTTATATCTTAAATTTGCACAGCATTGAATTCAAAAATCAACTCAGATCATCTTCTCTGCTGGGGAACCCTTTCATGTACATATAAAGTTCATTTTGCTGATTTTGCACTCCAATTTTTTATTCATTGTTTTTGAAGTATATGATGTATAATGGTCGGTGTTTGGGAAGTGTCAGTAGGACAGCTGTTTGGATTGAGTGGGATTTTGCAGGTTTGTGTTCAGTGGTAAGGACAGTGAATATGTATAACTTTGGTCAAGTACTTTGGGAAATGTATTCTATTTTATTGTATAACTCTTCATTCTGTATATTTCTGCAGAGAGGCTCCTCTGCTCCAATTCCTTTGTCCAGACTGAAATAAATTCCAACACAGCCAGGGAAGTTGTTGGTCCCGTCTGTACACAGCGCAAGCTTTATAGCCCTCGACTGTGTGTAGCACAGTGTGTTTCCCCAGCCAGTCAGAGTCGACCAAACAATGCTTTAAGAATGGAAACAGCATCTTCCTACCTAGCAAGCTAGTCTTGCTGCACCCATCAAAACATGCAAAAGAATAATGTCAAAAAGCATGGATGAGATGGAAGGAACTGCACATTTTGTTGTAAGTCAACTCATAACAACTCATGATTTGTTGTGTTTCTTTGGTCGCTGTTAGAAACGTGAGGTCAGCTGCTCCTAGCAACCGTTACTAAAGCCCTGTGTCGACAGAAATCGTCTGGACGCTCTCGCTCTAAAACAGAGAGAGAACACAGGACTATACCATGTACCATGTAACATACTTAGATTGGCACATCATTCAAAGCCTCTTCAAAGTGCTTCAGCTTCGTGCTCACCGCCTACCTCAGCTTAAAAAAGCAACATTTTGCTCCATGCATTGCCCCATGAACCAAAGAAAGAAGTCAGCCAGGAGCTAGGCCAGCTAGATCTAAAGGACAACTTGGTGGTGGGCTTGCTTGAAAAAATGACAAATCATATTTGGCACGTGCAAGAGAACGTGTCTGCTCAGCTTTGCATCCAGTTCCTTGTATATGGCCTGTAATGAAATATATAGTTGGTGTTATTAGACCTGACCCTTGATAACCTCCTTCCTGGCTGCTGGCCAGCCCTTGAGAGGTGGGTACCCTGCGAGTCCCTGGGCTTGTCACCGTGTTGAAGTGCCTCTCTCTGCTGTGCCTCCATTAGAGTTCATGCAGTGATAGCAAGTTTGTGGTCTACTGTGGCCAGAAACAAAGCTATTGCTGAGGCTGAGGCCATCGATCTATCTCCAGAAAAAGTGCTTATCTTTGGAGCCGGCCTCAAAGGCCCCCAGCACTTACAGTCCAGTCTGCCCAGAGCTGAATCAATATTCACCGAGGCTGACACAGAAAAGAAAAGAGAAGGAGAAGAGAAAATAGACGAGGGGAGGAAAACAGAGGAGTAGCTGACGTTGATGCAACATGCAAACACTGTTGGCCAGCATTTCTCACACTAACAAGCTAATACACTCATTCTGCTTCACTGTGTTACTCCCACTGTGCATCCAGATGTACAGAGCTGATAGGGGTTGTCGTCTACAATTCAGTTTGTGTTCTATCAGTAGGTGTGGCACCAAAACTCCATTGTGGGTTAAACTCCTTCTGTCTATCCTCTTGCTGTCATCAAGCCAAGCAGAGATCCTTTCCAACAGCCAGCCCCTCAGCTTGGCTCACTGCCTTCTGCCAACCCAGCAGCCTTGTGAGTACCTCTGTGAGCACTCCTCTCTTCTTTCACAGTCGCATGTTTTCAAGCTTTCTCCCTCTCTCTCTCTCTCTCTCTCTCTCCCTCTCTACTTCTGTCTCACTCCCCTATCTCCCTCTTTGCCTCCCCTGTGGTGATATATGTTGTTGTCTCCATGGAACACTGGCTCTGAGCCAAACAAGCCCTCCCTCCTCATGGCCACCTCCTCGGTTCTAGGAACTCTACTGGACAACCCCAGTACCTCTGTGTACAGACCTATAGGAGCTCTGGTATGCAAGCCCCACAAGGGTTGAGTTGCCCAGTTGAGTAACATGGCCCCATTTTATTTGTGGTCACTGTACTTGCTGTACTGAGTGGGAGCCTGAACCTGATGGCGTGCAAGGGCAAAGCAACGCCGACAGCGTCACAAAAACATCAGGTGGTGTCTGTTTCATTTGCTGTAGCATGGATGGTACAATTTGGGTCCCAGCCTCATGTGCAGACACGTGACATGGTGGGTGTACTCGAGTTAAAGCTGGAAGATGAATGTCACATATGCAGCCGGACCTTATTGGTATTAAATGGACGAACAAAGAAGAATTCCCTATAATAATAATAAGCACTTAAGCTCCTACACATGAACAAAAAAAACATGATGAGGCTTTAAGCTAAGTCTTAAAGAAGTCTGTTGGCGTCCAAAGACCAGGTGATGGTAGACTGAGTGTAAAGCCAAAACTATCTGACCAGAAGGAGTGCAAATAAGCAACAAGGGACTAGGATTCCTGAGGATCCTGGACAGAGTGAAAGATTAGCCAAGGTTTGGTGCAACACAAAAGCATTCTAACCTACTAATCCTTTCAATCTCTATCACTCAGATCCTTAAAAAAGTAACTGGGGTATTGTCATGTGTTAATAGCTGTGAGCTGATATGTTGTTAATGATTGTCAGGACATAACATCTTTAGCTGAAGGAAAAGACTGACCAATATGAATGGGAGACCTAAAACAAGCAGTCAATCAGTGCAATGGACTGGCTGCACAGCAGACATTTTGACTTGTCATAGACAGATAAACACAGGTGGACTTAATAACAGTAACAACAGCTCAGTTCCATTTAGTGTCAGAGACAGTGAACCGATAGCAGGAATAGCAGGGCCTGCAGTCATTAATACACCTGTGGATTTCCTGCTATGACAATGCAAAATATCTGCTGTGTAACAAATCCATAGGAAGTGTAAAAAGTCATATACCATTGAAAGTTTAGAAAAACGCACTTTGGATCATAGATCATATACTGTATATATATATATATATATATACTGTATATATTTTAAGTGGTATTGTTGAGGCAAATTCTGGATGGAATGATGCATATTTGAGCATCAAATTTGTCCAATGAACAGAGCCCTGGTTGGAAGCCAGTAGTTGGAATAATGATTCAGTTTGAGGTAATACGCCCATGCTCTGGTTTCCCAGTGGCTCCTGTGTGAAAACCAGGCAAGTGGATGTGGTTGGACCAAAATGGTGTCTGGTGGGCAGCGAGTGTTTGGCTGCTGTTAAACCATTGTGTCCACTACGAATTTCCTGTTTACTGGTGCCTGTATTTTTAGACTTAGACTGTTTTTGAGGCTTAAGCTGTGTCCCACTTCTTTGCTTTATTTTGGTGTATGTCTACGGACCCAGCACAGGACAAACAGCTAGACACTAAGTCAGACTTACACACACAGATGATAATGGCAGTCTACTGTGCTAACAGTTTTCTTTTAATTCTTGGTTTGGAGTTGGCCTGCACAGAGCAAGGAACTGTAAGTTTTAGAATATGAAACTGTGTCTTGTGACCGATAGAAAACACCCATTTGGCCTTTGACACTGGCATTCCCAGGAAAACTAGCACTACATGACCTTTACAAACCATGCACAACCTTTAGTCTTAGTGAGCCGGTCACCCTCAGAGTCCTAAGTTTCTGGCCCTGGCTGTGAGAGACTGACGGTTTTAGGTCAGTCCGCTGCCAAGTCACTCAGCAAACTATGCAGACGTCTCACTCCTCTATACCAGCCTGGACAGTCCTTTCTGGGCCAACCTTGAGAGGGAATGAGGCCATAAGCTCTGTGTGTGTGCTGTACATAGTCAGTGTGATCAACGGTAAAAAGGTCACATTTCAAAGAAACCTCATAGAGAGAGACGCAAAATGCCAAGTCAAGCCGCAACTTCCAAACTCAGGCCAGGCAGACGAAAGGCTCTAGCGTGTTACAGTTTTCATCCAGAGAAATGTAGTCTGACCAAACCAGAGAGGCAGAGAGAGAGAGGGCGAGAGGGAGAGAGAGAGAGAGAGAGAGAGAGAGAGAGACTGAGAGAGAGTTAGACAATTACCTTCCTGCAAGGACAGGAGGGATTAGCTGAGTTAGCGTTTCACGGTGTCATGGAGGGGGAATTAGGCAGCGAGACAACCTGCTAGGTGCTCAGCCGAAGTCAATGGAACATTCGTTTCAGACTGACCATCAACCCTCACCTCGCATCTCAGTGTAAGCGTTTCTTCAAGGTTTGCCCACAGGCAAGCATGGCTGACCAACAGGGAAAGATAAGGCCCTGTACCCTCTGTGTCTCCTCTTTCCCAGTTAGCCTCACCTCCAAAGGAATGGTGCGCAGAGTGTTTTGGAAACTAGAGAAACTGCAGCAGCATGGTGCCTAAGTTGAGGCAGCATGAAAACTTTTTGACCTCAAACTTCTGCATTCCTGGTTTAGCGGGAATACCTAACCACACCGTAATGGAGGCTTTGACAATGCACTGTATTTTGTTTTCACTCTGACTCTGGCTCGACTGAGGTCAGCTGCCATTTCAGGTGCTCAAAGAAAGCACACTTATTCCCCTGCCTCTTCCCGTTCTCTCTGTGCTGAGTTTCTGGGGTCCACCATGTTGGCATCAGTGTGCGTGTACACAGTGTCCCCGGACTGGTCTCCTGGCAGCCTGACACCTCCAGCTTTATCTGCATCACAAGCTGACTTTAAAGAAATATATGACCTGTCAGCATGTAGGCCTGCATTTCCACTCTGCACATTCACATTCAGATATACTCTGAGCGAGAGATCAACTGCAGTGAGTCGACAGGAACAGAAGGAAGGAGAGATATAATAAACTGAATTATATCTTTTCTTGGAGGCATAGTTGATCTAGCAGCTCTCTGGCTACACACTGTACTACAATAAATACCTTCTATTCTTGTCTCTATTGTATCAAAGTATGCCAGATTTCAAATAGAAGGGTGTGTGACAGGTCATTAGAAGACAAAGAGTGTACCAGTGTGTGCCAGCCCTGGGGACAGGCAGGCAGGCTATGTAAATACCCCCATGGAGTGTCACAAATGTACCATCCTCCCATCCCGAAGGGCATGCCATCAGATAGGCCAGCAGCACAATGACAGACACATGGCAAGACAAACTGGACTCGCTAAACCAGTTCACTCAGATGCTCCAGAGCCCTTCCCACAGTGTGACTCAGTACACATGGTCAGCCGGTCTACTCAGAAACGCAACTGTAAAACAATAAATTAATTTGACTTTAAATAAGACGGCGCTCCAATTGTTTTTTACAGGTAACTGGATTTTAAAAAAAGGGAATACATTTGAGTTCAACTAACCAGATTAATGTCTGAATTAGTTATTTAGAATCCAGTTTCTGGATATCTGAATCCAGGCATTCCTCTGATACTGTTCTCCAAATTGAGATCAAAGTATGGTGGGCAAAAACTGTTTTGTTCCCCACCTGTCATCAGCTTCCAAAGTACCTAAATCATTTAACTTTCCATTAGTTTTCCATACATGTTCTTAAGGCTTGTACAAGAGTAGAACCCCATTTGGTTCAATGAAGAACTTTTTGTGCAAAAAAGTGACACTTAACCAATCTCTGATTACCAAGCACATTTTTCATAAATACATGCAGTGTGTTCACTAGTATAGAGTACGCAGGGATTACTCACCTGGACAATGTCTAGCACCATTCCCGCTGCCACTGTCCCAAACCCGGCCAGCAGGAAGGGGAAGACCACCTGCAGGCCAATGGAGAAGGAGGTCTCCTTGAGGGGCGCCGGTGGCTCTGGGCTCTGGTCGGTGCTGGTGTCGTCGCTCTCGTTGCTCTGGCTTGCGTTCTCCAGGAGAGCATCCTCCTCCCGCTGACCTTTGGCATTGGCCCGGCAGTCCATCGCCACCACAATCTCCGACCTCTCCTCATCCTCCCCGGTCTCACCGACTCTCTCGGTGAAAGATGTGACCTCTGTGAGCTCGAACTCGCCCCCGGTCCCTGGGCTCATCTCCTCAGGGCCCTTGGTGAGGATCACCGGGTGGATGGAGCAGTTGGAGTTGAGGAAGGCCGGGGTCAGGGGGCCTCCCTCCTTCTTCATCTCAATTGCCCCGGAGGACATGTCGATGTCGGGGAGTTTGTCTTGTTCTTTCGACCAAAGTACCATGCGGAAGCCTTTGGAAGACAGTGAGCTTGACAAGAAAAGGTCAGGTTGCCTCGGCCTAACAGTTTTGGGGAAGTCAGAATGAAATTGGCCACCTGATCTGGTTTTCAACCTGATCAGTCCAATTAATTTATCCCATTAAAGAGGCTTACAGGGAGTGGGTGTCGCTATTAAAGACCAGGAGAAAACTGCTCTGTAAGAAAAAACCTGCAGCAAGGCACATGCAGCTGTGCGTCTGCAGAGCCCGTGTTCCTGACGGTGCTTCGGGAGCAGAACCAGTATGTTCTCCATTCACTGCAAGGTGCTCAGGATAGGCCGGCAAAAAAAAGAAGAAAGCATACTGGTTCAAAACAGAAGAGAAAGGAAAACAAGAGGCTTGGGGACTCACCACAGCAATCCCCTGTCCTCACTTGTAAACCGTCCTTTGAAGTTCAGTATAGGCTAAAATAAAAATAAAATCAGAGGTCTAAGTGGCCAGATTGCAGCAGCAGACTGGTCATGCTCTCACTCCACTGTCCATGTGGGACTGGTGTGGTGTACTGGGTTGGGAATGTCTCACCTTACACCACGTGGTTGCTGGCCGGTTTTCAGTAGAGATATTTAAGGGTCTGCAGTGTGAGGATTGAATTACCGGCTGCGGAAAAGTACCCCCAACCAGAGTGGGCAGTCACCTGGGAAAAGAACAAATTCATTGATTATTCAGTCGTTAATGTTAACATTCTCCAGCTCCATTCCAGGTTTATTTCCAAACATGAGTAACTGGTAGACCGAGGCTCTCTCCTAACTATCAAATTCAGATTAAGTTACCCACACATAAAAGCTATTATATAGAACGAAAACTAAATCGGGCCTGAGTAAGACATAATGGAGAATGATATGCAAGATGTCCAGTAAACAAAATATATGTATTATATAAATAAAAAAATACTGAAAAACTAACTATAATAGCAGCACAATAATATAACTTACAACTGCTAGAATTTGAGTGCAGTTTGAGTAGGCTACCACTAATGCTCTGTCAGCCCTTGTAATAGACTATCATAGTACTTAAGCCCAGCAACAAAAAAAAGTCCTTCACTCTCCACTGACACTGTGGCAGAAGTAAGGAGAGACCAACAGTGAGTTTAAAAACAGTTTCATCCAGCGCCAAATTTCCTCCCGGCGGCTAAAAATATTCTACCATTAACAGAAGTGCTGCGTACATCCTCTGGAAACCGAGTGTCACCCCACCGTCAACGCAGCCCCAATGCAAAGACAGCAATTCCTGTCACACCTTTCAAAGTAAAGCAACATCAGTCACTCTCAAATTCAAATTATGGACAGAAAATGTAAAAGGTTCATTTAAGGAAACTGTAATAAAGAGCTTCTTCCCAAATTATACAAGTAAGAAATAACATTTAAAACATCATTGTGTTTGAGAGACCAAGCTTCAACTACAAAGGGAATTTAGTGTCAAATGAAGGAAAATATTTCACCCTGTCATGCATATTATAAATAAATGATCATTTTAGTAAAGTTAGTTTTCTTACAGTAAGTTTAGCAAGTCTGTCCTTGGTTTCATTTATAGGCTTATTCTTATATCACTGGTGGTGAAGAGAACAATGACTTAATCAAATATTCAAGACAGTAGTAGTGACAAACCTGGCTGATCTCTGGTGTGACAGCTACAAGATCAATTTTAAGCTCAGCTCAGCATCAGAGTATGAAAGGGTCCCACACAGTTTCCTCACACAGACATGAAACAAATCATACATTCGGCCAAAAGTTACAGTCCTTGCATAACAGAAGAAACAAACGCTTTTATTTTGAAGGCCCCTCCACCTGCTTCCAGTCTAATTGACGCTGCCCTGACGCAGCTCTCCTCCGCCTGCATGTTGCGACATCCGCACACAGACTTGGCTTTCCCCGCTGAAACAATCCTCTGTTTAGTAGTCAGGACCAATACCGCCCGAACCCAACATGGCAAAGGCGTAAATTAGTGCTCCCCTGGTCAGGACTGAATAGACTAGCCCTCCTTTTCTATTCTACTGCTCACTTAAACAAGGGCAGAGGGCTTTCTGTTCCAGCACCGGGCTGGAGCCCCATGTCACTGCCACTATCACCACGAGTATTTAACTCATGAGAATGAATGCAAACGCACCATCATTTTCAATTCTCTACCATCACCACAGCGCGCACACACACACACACACACACACACACACACACACACACACACACACCTAGGGTAGAAGCTGGGGTTTAAGTTAGAGTGTCACATTCCGTTAGTTAAAGGCTTAATGTGACTCCCACAGCCGGTCTCCTGCTCTCTCTCCTATGTAACAGCGGCTGAAATGTCCCGCAGGTAGTCATAAAAAAAAGCTCCTCGGTTACCTTCTAAGTGTCAGCGGTCCGGAGAGGAGAAGCGGACAACCCGGAGTGATGTTCAGTAACAGCGCAGGGATCCGTGTGGCCGGCTGCGTGCATCCTCCACCTCCTGCTAACGCGCTCTGGCTGAGGCGTGGACGCCGGTGAGCACGCCTTAAGTACGGTACCGGCTCCGCACAGCTCCCTTAATGATTAATGGTGGTTAATGGTTAAACCTTTCCTCACCGCGCGGTTTAGGCTGTGTCCCAGTCTCTCTCCCCGACCCCGTCACATTGCACCCGTCCAGTGGCCCCCGCCGCCCGGCTGCTTGCATGCGCATCTATAATACACCCGTCCGGTGCAGGGGGCCAGGAAGCCACAAGGCGGGCCCTCCCTCCACACTCTGAGCTGACGATACAGACCCCCCCACCCCCCCTCCAGTGAGCACAAGCACGTCCCCTCCCTCTACCCCCATGTGTGTGGAAATGTGTGCCCGTGCGGTGCCAGTCTCCTCCACAAGCCTACTAATTTACTACCAGGGGGCTGAGAAAGAAGTTTTAATTTAACAATAGGCCTAGATTCCTGAATGAATGGGTACACAGGAATATCAGTACAGTCTAACTGAGCTGGGCTGGATTTTAGTCACTGATACATCAAACACAGAGAATACATAAATGCAGGTCTTACATAAGGACACGTTTTGAAATCACACCAAAGTGACCTGAAAACCCAGGAGAGAAACAGGGACCTCGGCAGTGTGTCACAATGGCACATTACCCATAGAAAAAGAAAGAAAGAAACAGCTGAAAATTTAAATGTGTAGAACTCAATGGCATCTAGCAGTACAGTCGCAGATCGCAACTCCCTCGCTTCACCCTCCCCGTCCAAGCATGCCGGCTATTTAGAGCCAGTGTTTTGTTTGTCCTTTTTGGGCTACTGTAGAAAAATGGCGGTTCAACATGGCGGACTCCATGGAAGGTGACCCGCTCCCTCTGCAGATAAAAAAAGTCTCATTCAACAAGGATTCTGATTTTGAGGTGATTATACAGTAATGAAAACCTACCTATTAATATTATATTCTTTTTCTGACAATAGATCCTCCTAAATGTTACACACTGGACCTTTAAATAATGAACATCAGAACCTGCAACAAGATAACAATAATGGTTCAAGAATAAAATATTCAGATGAGTAATTATTTTTGAAAACTGCATACAGATGTGAAGGTTTAGGAAAAAAATGAAATTAAAAAGAGAAACTACTTTGATTCTGACGCGAACTCTTTGTATGTCTCTTCGTACTTTTCTGGAGGCAAAGTCATTTATGAAATCCCTGTTAGAAACTTCCTTGTGCCGTGGAAGATTTCAAGTAGTTTTTGAAATTAGAAAAGTCAGTCACACCGTCAGGGAGAGCCCAAAGATCCAGGTACAACTCACACATCTCATTCTGAAAGAGGTAAGTGGGACGCTCAAATGTGGTCATCTTTGCTTGGAGGGGTTCTGGACAGTGCACCATCCACATCAGCCTCTTCTCAACAGGTGAGTTTACACTGGTCCCTCTGTGTCTGTGCGTCAAGCTGGCTGAAGCTGAAGGCACTTCAGTTGACTCTAACTTCCCCCAGAGACTGAAAGCGCTCTTCCAAAGACTGGATGCTACCATACCACTGCTTTAACAAAGGAAAAAGAATAAATCCTGTCTCTTCACTGCATCAGCTTGTGGCTCAAAAGTGTCTTTTGTGGTCCGCAGCCTCTTCCCCTTCAGCACTGCCTCAGTGTTCATTACTTCACAAACCTGAGACCAGGACCAGTTGTCCTCTACCTGCTTACATTTCCTGTTTTTCATATGAGGCCCACTGCAAACATCAAATTCTTGGAGAAAATGTATGAAATCTAAATTATCTGATTTATTTAGCAAGGAAGTGGTTCTCAGCTTTCACTGCAGAGACATTAGCCCTTTCCCTGACTTCTAACAAAGCTTCTCTCACCTCGTCTGCTTGATAGCATAAAGGTTCAATACTGTTAACAGCTCTCCCATCGTGTTTCACTCCACGACTTCACTTCTGCCTCCAAGAGGGCCTTTTCTGTCTCGTCGATAGTTTGGAAGTATTGCAATGCATTCCGTCGTTCAAAGGGGACTTCATGTTGTTCCTCTATTACCAGTGTTGTGGACTTTCTGGAGAACAGTTTGCAGCAGAACAACCAGATTGCATCATTTCTTTTTGTGAGCCAGCACTGTTTGACTTTTTCCCCATTAATTGTAAATGTAGTGGTAGAAAATGTGAGGTTTGCTTTTATAGGCAGCGGCCCTGTGCTTACCAGATTAGTCCTTTCTGAGTCAGATAGGACAGACAGTGACCACTCCGCTGGGTCAACTGGAAGAGCAGCCGATCCATGGTGCAGGCTGGAGGTTGCTGAGGGAGCGGATGCAACATCGATCTCAGTGACCACGGAAGTAGAAGGACCAATAGGGAAATTAAATTAATAATTAAAATCATTTGTCTCAGGATATTCTGCAGTTAACTGAACAGCTACAAAGGCTGCTGTGCTATAACTTACCAGCTGAGGTTGAAACAGACTTTGAAGAGACAGAAGGATCAGTGGATGCAGGTGCTGGAAAGTTCTCCTCACCTGCAGAGAAGGATGGAAAGAGGAAAATACTAATAATAATGAGGCTTGCTATGTTAAATGTCATATTCAAAGGTAATGTAACACATATGATCTCACAAAAGGCACAGTTTATCCATTTAAATATAATGATCTGGGCAAAAAACCTTTTGTTGGTAACCTGCTCTATTATCATCAGTTTATTTTACCAACATAAGTTATTATACTCAGCAGCAAGCAATCTGTACACATAAGTCTTAATCTATAACTAGCTAATTAAGGCATAATGATATTGGCATATATTTAGACCCCAAAATGGTAATGTAAATAATGCTAGGCTGTTATCATTACGAAGTTTATGGAAAATTAAAAACCAAGTCAGAAACGTGAAGCTGACTTTTTGGCCACTCGGGGGCAGCAGAGCAAGCTGAATTTAGATAATATGATCACTTTATAGAGTTATTATGGTTAAGTTGTTAGTAAAGAGTTATCAGTTAGACATTTGAGTTGTCCGGATGAGTCCAATATTCACTCTTCTTTTAAGGTCTACTTCCAGAGAAAACTCTCTGACTCTTTAACTAATAAAGTCCAGTATCACACATATATCTAAAATGCCTCAATGGGCTTCACAATCTGAAGAGCATGGCACACTCTAGAGAGCAGTGAAACTGAACAGAAAACAAAAACTATGAGCTGAAAGATGCCAAAACGCTCCTTAGAATTGAGTTGAGTTCAGTCAGACAACATGTTTAGTACAGCAGTATAGCATATTAGATTTTGGCGTCTAGGCTCCGACCTCAAATACCTCAACCCCTAGCCAGAGCCTACAGGTGGATGCTGGGGTGGTGGTGGTTACAGCGCAGTAGGCAGCAATAGCTTACAGAGCAGCAGCGATGTGATGCAGGGCAACAGCGGCATTGACAAAGCAGAGGGAGAGCTGGGATATTTTACAGCTTAAATAGACCGCCAGAAGGGTGCGCTTTGTTAGTGATTATGGAGTGAGGCATGTCATGTGTATAGCAGCGTAGCTCGAGTTGACTGAACTAGCTCCCGGGCTTTGCTCCATTTATTTGATCTATTGTAAATAAAGAAACCCCTCATTATTTTCACCTAATCTTTATTATTTGCACAGTACAAGCCAACCTGATGGTATTTTGTTTTATCATTGTATGGGTTTGCTGCTTTTTTACGTCTCCCGCGGTACCTTACATTTTCTTTCTGTTTTATTGTGCTCCTTGATTAACTGTATAATTTGCATAATATAAAAGCCTATAGGAATACAGAAGCTGTTTCTCATCAAGGGATTGCAGAGTATGTGTGTGTGTTTTGTGTGTTATCTGACAGATAAATTGTCCGCTGCCTCAGCCTCCTAATGCTGTTCCTAGGAGAGCAGCAGCTCTAACAACGTCCCCAGAGGACGTGCTGCTTTGTTGTGCTGTTTGCCTGTTGCTATACAGCCACTCGGCTCAGCATCAGCAGCCCCAGCATCGCTCAGAGAGCCGAGGCTACAATCCATCCACCCCCCCATGCTGGCAAAGTGGTGAGCTGAGCCAGTTTGCACACAGCATAAACATCCAATAATGACAGGGGAATGAGAGTCAGCCACACTGTGGTCTCTGGGTGGATTTGTTCGGTGCTTTCACCCAGACTCGTAGGTGAACAGGAAGTTGTGAAACTTTTTGCACTCATACAGGCGTTTGTGGTTTTGCATATATTCCTCTGACTCACTTCTGGGGAAAAGTGAGAGTAAAAGGTCTGGAAGAGGATGTGTTGCTGCAGCAGGTTGGATTGCAGTGTGTTACTCGGGGACCGAACAGTTCCCACCATGAGCAAGCACTTGGCGACGGGGGCAAGGAAAAACTGCCTGTTAAGAGGCAGAAACCTAGGACAGGTGGGTGGTCGTCTGCTTCGACCAGTTGGGGTGGGTGAGAGAGAGAGAGAGAGAGAGAGAGAGAGAGAGAAGAGAGAGAGAGAGACAGACAGACAGACAGGTGCACAGCAACAACAGTAGCAACAACTACACTAATAGTAGTGACTAATGATGATGAACTGTCTGTTACTGTCAAACATTTATAAGCCATATAAAATATAAGGACACTTATATTATATACACTTATATAACATTTAGAAGGGTTGATTGTCAGAAATGGAATTTAAGATTAAAGGTATGTTTTCATTAGTGTATACAGTAATCACCTGGATATAAGAAGATGAAATAAAAAACATTTTCAACCAAGAGCTAAAGATTCTAAACAACTTGTATTCAAAAGAAAGTATTCTTTCACACAGCACTGGCTTCAAAATGGCATCCCACTCTGTATTTGAATTTGAACAAAATTTATATTCAATGTTTACTTCTTAAACATCTGTGAACCAGCAGAAAATAGCAAATAACACTGGAAAACTGAAGTTTTCCATTTTTCATGGTTTAAATGCAGATTAAAAATACAACAATCCATCATCCAGGTAAAAATATAATACCAGTGGTCTAAGAATAGCAAAGATGTTCATCCATCTGACAATGTCTCGTCTCTCTCTCTCTCTCTCTCTCTCTCTCTCTCTCTCTCTCTCTCTCTCTCTCTCTCCACACACACACACACACACACACACACACACACACACACACACACACACACACAGTCATTGAACAAATACAAATGAGAAGTCACACATCTGACACAACTCTGTAATTCATTGATTGGACAGGATATGGTTTTGGCAGTGTGTCAGCTAAAATGTATTATTTAACCCAAAACGTACACCTTCATTTACTGGCAGTGATTCAAAGTCTAACAGCAGTTCTATGTCTTCTTTCTTTCCTTTACATAACAGATGCTACTTTTAAAACTCAGGGTTAACACATCTCTACCACCTCGTGCATGTGTGTGTGTGTCGTTTGTTGTTTTCAGTTGGCATTAAGTCAGTGGTGCAGTCACACTTTGTTTTGAAATTCAAGGTTCTACTAAAGTTTACTAAATATTTTAAGTTGTTTTAATGTATTGTGTGTGTGTTTATTTTTGCACAGAAACCATCTTCGTTAGCTCAAATGTTGTCAATCACATTCCAAAGAAAAAAAACCCATTCTGCTGAATTCTGCTATTTTTAATTTTGGAACACCACTGTAAACTGTACAACCCCCCCCCCAAAAAAAAAAAAAAAAATGTGGGCCAGCTAACGCTGCTGTGTCCCAGTGAGCACTGACAGTGTAACAAGTGAGCAAGCACAGTACAGCAGGACCCTGAAATTGAAAGAGCTAAATGGAATTCAGGCATCCTTGATTTTTATTATTTACACCTGTGCGCCTTCTATTGTGACATGTCAAAGTGTCCTGTATACGTTGATAATGTCTTTGCATGATGTCTGGGTAATGATGTCCTTTGAAATTTCAATGAATTAATCTCCATGGGGCAACACACTGTAAAGTATGCAATTTCCACAAGCTTTTGTGACTAAAATGTGAATTACATTTCTACTTTAATGACTTAATAATATTCAATGAGTTGATGCATTTTCCTGTGTATTTATACTTCTGTAGATGTGTTTCCAGACGCTACAGTGCCTTGATGTTGCACATTGATTGAGAAGACAAGAATGCAGGCGGGCAAAATGGAAACTCACGGGTTGTCCTTAAGAGGATTCAGGAGCTAAGAGGATTCATTCTTAGATTCAGTACACATGATACAGTATTTAATAAACGAGATGTCTTTAAATGACTCTTATTATACTCATCGCTAGCATTTCTAACAAGAAATTCTTTCTATCTGTATAAACTAAGTAAGAAAAATATGGCTCACTGTAAATGTAATAAGAGTTTTCATTCCCGTACTAAGACACTATTCTTGTGTGGCGTGTAAACATGGATTCATGCCCTGCACACATTTTGTTGTGGCTCTGGCTTTGTACATGGAAGTTAAATAGTTTCCAAAACCTCTAAAGAATCCTTGGACAATGCTCATTTCCAGCTCAAAGCATGAAAACTGGGCAGTTAAGTGTTTTTCAGAGATTTCCTGGGACACCACTCGGACAGCTGCCCACAAACCTGGGCAAAATAAAACCGTTTGAAGGGTTGCAAAAGAACACACAATGGAATCTATTAGTTGTATTTTAATGGTGCTCCACTCTCCACTGAGATATTAAGACATTTTGATGCAGGTTTTTTTTTTTTCATTTCTGTTTTCATTTCTTAACTACCAGTTGCTACACTGTTATGTCAAACAGAATGTCTCAATAAAAAAAGTGAGTTAACACAACTTAATCCTCCAAAACATTTGGAGTCACTTCCCATGAATTAAACCTAACCTATTAATGAACTGTTGAAGTAATAACTTTAGTGAACTTTGCAGTATTTTAAGTATTGGTCATATAATTCCAGTTTGCTCCATTAACAAATTTTCTTTAAGTTGACTTCATTACATCATAACAAAAATGTAATTTTTCTTTTTATTTCAATTTACAAATCACAATGCGCACAAATATGAGAGATTTGATGTTAATCATATTAAAAAAACTACTTACTTTATTCAGATTGATTCTTTTAACACATTTTAAATACGTTTGGAGAAATCCTGCATATGAGTGTGATATATAGGGTCAGGTGATATGCTGAAATTTAACAATCAGCAATTGTTGGTGCATTAGTTTCTGTTGTTGCCTCTCTGCTGCCCCCTCCTCTACCCACTTCATGTCTTTTCTCTCCTGGCCTGTCCCTCTCCTGTCCCAGGCAGTCCCTGCTGAGTCCTCATCTTCCCCAGAGTCTTGTTTGCAGCCTCTGTGAATCACCTTGTAACTGTATTCCCTGTTGTCAATCTATTGGAAATAAACCCTTAATTCAACACAGTTAGATGTGAAAATACACTGTTTCTAAAGGTGTTTTTCCTCTCACTCTTTCTTTGGCTCACTGAGCAGCTCTCATTCTTCAGAGGCAGCCCATTAAATTAGCAAAATAAACTCAGCCAATTGTCGACAGCTGAAATATTCATCCAATCACCCAACCCCACCTGAATGGAATTGGTACAATTCTTAATTTGCCCAAGTTAGCTTAACTATAAAGACTTGAGTCAAAATTTTTCCTGCTTAAATTGTTTCACTTAATGAACTAAAACAGTTTAAATGGGTTTCCTTAAACAGTTTAAGTTGAACTAACTCATTGTGTACTGCCTATAGTGAAAGTCAAATGTCACAAATCAGTTCACACAGACTGATATACTGTACGTTTCAGTTGGGAACACACATCCACCACAGATATCAGATTAAATAAGACAAATCTTTGGCACAACACCTACAGCATCATCTAGTTTACAAGTTGTAAGCTAGTTGACCTAGTTAGTTATAAGTTACAATTAACTAGGTCAACTATTTTAACTAAGTCACTTTGTGTTGCAGCAGTGTGTTAGCTTCAGCTCTTTTTCAACAGCTCTGATGATTATTAGTACGACAATGAGATTATGAACATATCTTACATTCTTCACAATTACTAAACCAGATGAATTTTCCATTCTTGGTCTGGAATCTGATTTATTAATATGAATACACAGAAAACACAGCTTTTCACCTAACTAACTGACCAGTCACTATGCTATTATAACATTAACAGCTGATCCCAGGGCTGTGCAGGAGAACCGATCTTATTAGCACCACTACATATATATCAGTCAGTGTTTGTCAGACTGCTGTAAAGGAAAACTTCACATTGTCTTCTTCTTCTGGCAGTCCTTAACACATCATCATATCACGTCATTATATTGTAAAACTGGTCAGATATTTGATCAAATGTAGGCGCAAGCTGGACAGGAAGTTAAAAGACAACTATGTCAAAGCAATTCCTTTGTGTGGAAACGAAAAGGCGGCAAGGACTCAGGAGACACTGAACCCTACGTTGCTCCTGATGGATGACCGATGGTCAGGCCAACGCCTTGCAAGGCTGCTCCATCACCATCAGTGTGTGTGTGAATGTAGCTTACCATGGAATAGTGTAATTTGGCTGCTGGTCTGTGTAACTTCTGATATAAAAAAATCCTTGTTTCAAGTTAAGAAATCGACCTGACGACACCTGTGTCACTGAGGGAAAGCAGAAATAGCTAACTGAAAGAAGTTCTGGTTACGTGTGGACATACAGTGTAGTATGGGGTCCTTCTGGTCATTAATGATCCTCCAGCCTCCTTTTCCAAACCAGGAAGTGAGGTGAGAACGGAAGACAAAACAGCGTTGGGCCCCAGCAACGCCTCGGCAGAGTGGCTGTCCCTGGCAACGTCGAGGCGGTCTGTGCCAGTTTTGGGCCACTTCTGTCCAGGGGCTTCTTTGAGCCCAGAAGAATGTCAGGGGGGAGATTTGGAAACCTTCCCTCAGCTCAGGATGAATGGCTGTCCACCGATCACACTCCCCCGCTCTCTCTCCCATTCCCTCCAACCTTTCTCCTCTACACACAGGGGAGAAGCAGAAAAGTGCGACAATCCTGGACTTGAGTTTCTCCTCATTCTCCAGAGAGTCATTACATCCCCCGTTGAGAGGGCTAACATCATCCAGTCACTTCATTCCATCAGATAAATTAGCTTCTTGCGTCTTAGTTTTGATCACCAACTCAACAAGTTAATTACTGAGATTTGGAGAGAAAGCAAAACCACTAAAAGAAGTCGGAGGGAGCAGGAAAAACAAGAATTCAGACAAACTCCAAAGTTATCTAATCCTATTTGAAAGGAAACTGAACACAAACTGTAATATTATCACTTAAACTGTTCTTCAAGGACCGTAATGACCTACAAACCAAGGGTAAAGGGTGCCAGGGGGATTGGAGGCTAGCACTATCATTCGCTTATTTTCTAGCAAATTTACTGTGTTGACTTATTGGGGATGGGTTTCTCAGTATTGTGTGGGTAAATTTCAGTATGGAATGTTTTTTTTTTTAGCAATTGAGCTATGTCCTCTGATGTCCTTAGCAGTCATTGGGTGTTTTTGCTTGGGACCTTCATTCTGTAGGCTAATAACAGATCTGTAAGTCAGAAATTGGAAAGTAACATGTTTATGGAATGGATTAAATACGATTTTCAATTTCTGCTTAACCAGAAGTTGTTTGCATGAATATCGTAGGGATTCATGGGAATTTGGCTTGCTAAGTCTTTATTTGGTTTATTGTTCTCAAAATCCTAATTTTCACATTTTAAATGTTTGCATTACTTAGAATTGGAACACAGATTAAGTACTGCTTCATCAAGACTAGGGTCATTTAAAAATATAGTGCCTTTATACCTTTTATGTAGAGTTTCCTGTCCTACTGTGTATGTTCTTACAACACATATAGCCCATTTAGCTGGGAACAGAGGCGAAAAGTAGACCTCAGCCCCGCAACACTCATGTCCTGTCTGTTCCTCCACCAAGCGTCTTCCACTTCAGTTGTTGTTAGTGCTAGATCCTGGACTTGGTGTCACAACTGCCAAACCCTAACACACAGACCTGTTTACTTATCTTTTGTGGACAATACATAGACTTACATTCATTTCCTGGTGACTTACCCTAACTAGAACCATAACCAGTACTTGCCTGACCCTAACCCTTCTTTAATATGAACCCCAACACTCTAACCCAAACAAGTTAATGAGATAACGGCTAAAAAACTGAACACTGAACACCAAGGGTTGTAGGGAGGTGCTAATCCCTGGCAGTAGATCAAATCGTTGGTTGATCTTGAAGAAGGCCGAAATGTCATCAGCTAAATAAAGGAGAAATGCGTATGGAGCTAGAGTGTGCAACACTTTTTTCCTTCACTCAAGTACACTTCCACTGATCAGCGCCTCACTGCAACCCTTGGTGTGTGTTACTTTTCTATATTTTATATTGGAACTATTGGACAATTTTGTATTATTTCTATTTCTACTAAAAGTACTTACTTCATTTTGGATCACAGAGTTTAGGTGAAAGGGGGATGTCCTGACCTGTGACCCCAGGCTCTTGTAATGATCTGTGACCTTCCAAATGGCTGTACCAGCAAGTACTCCTACAACATACTGAAGTCCCAGGTAGAAAGATGTTTCTGTCAAACACGGAAGAACCAGTGTGATGATTAAAGAAGTTACTTATTCAGACAGCAGCTCTGCAACATCCAGAACTCGCTGTAAATTGAAGAAAATTCAACTTGTGAGGCGTTAGAGGATAACTGACAGCCTTACCGATTAACTGCTTTGCCCTTGTGTGTACTGGTGTGAGTGTGTGTGTGTGTGTGTGTGTGTGTGTGTGTGTTGTGTGTGTTGTGTGTGTGTGTATAAGTAGGGTGGGTGAAGAGTAACCTCCCGCAGGCAGCACATGGTTCACCCATTAAAGAAAACAGACATCATCGTCATCACATCATGGAATGATGGAAAATTGGAGAATGGAGACAAAAATAGTTTGTTTCAGGTCAGAGAGGAGTGTGAACCGGGACCTGCCTTCTCTGAGAGGACCAAAGCCAGTGTTTTTAACAATTATATCTTCCTTGTAGGCTCGAGGACACCATTGGTATTCATTAATCAGATTTCTGCAAGAAAATCAATATGCAAGGACTTAGGTAATCCTGACAGAGTACTCATTGCTCAAGAACTCAAGTTTTGAGATTCTAAGTATTTCCATTTTATGCTCCTTTAAACATAATAATAAGAAGCAAAATGACGAACTAAGCTACTGCTTTAATGTGTCAGTATTTATAATCCTATACTTTTTCATGGGCTAGATGTATAATGAGTACTTTCCCTTTTGATACTTTGACTTAAACATACTACAAAGAGTTGTTCACTGGTTGTGAAACATGCCTCTATATGACCTACATAAACAAACCATGACATGTAGTTATTCGTAATGCTGGTCAGATTCCCCTTGAAATCAATGAAACGAGGCAGTAGAAACACTACCGCTTTTGTCCACAGGGGCCACCAGAATCTACTCAAAATGAAAGTTCCTTGTTGCTGCTTTGGGTAAGATTTTGAATGCAGGATTTAAAAACTAGTATTTTTACCGCCTAGTAATGCTATTTCTACTTGAGGACAGAATAGGGTTGCTTCGTCAACCGCACATATGAGGCGTGTTTGCTGTGTGTGTACATTTAGTTGTTCCATGTGGACAGGATGTCCTCTCCCTGTGTTTGAGACAAATGAGACAATTACTGAAGTTATGGGCTCTACACAACATCTGTAATGGGAGGTGCTCAGAGATGTAATAATTGTAATGTTCATGTAATAATTACATCAGACTAGCATTTTATAGTTTTGGTTTGTTTTATAAAATATAATTTTTGCTTAACTTTTTGTTATAAATCTAACCAGTGCAGTGAGTCAGGTTAGATACCAGTGTTCACCATGTACTTTTCCCTTACACCCACCACCATGCACCCATCTCCTGTGACACACACATTGGGACTTTACTGTAAACAGAAAATGTGCAAATACTCCCACAAATCGGAATCGGAAACCAAAAGCATTCTGCAAACAACCCAATACCATTATTACCTGGTTGTTATTCTCACGACAGGCAGCCTGTTACAGGTAACAGTGAGTCAGTCTATTCTATCAATAATAATAATAATACATTTTATTTATAATGCCCTTTTCATCAAAAGATCTCAAAGTGCTACAGGTTAAAAAAGATAAGCAGTTATAGATATTATGAGTAAGTAACCTGTTTACCTGTATTTCCTCATTGTCCTTTACTGTGTATATCAGCTGCTATGAAGACAGCAGCGTATATGATCGTAGGCCTCATTACTGAAGAGATCTTTCTCTTTTCACACCATTTTTTTCCCATTAAGATGCATTTATTTTCCTTGTGTGATAGAGAAAGTCATGTTTCCTCCTCTTACCTGAATGGTTAAGTGAGGCGTTACTAGTTCGGGCTAATAACCTCTGTGTCTCTCTGCTGCTCTGCTGGGGCAATTACTTTGACCAAGTTAATGTGAAAAAAACACAGAGAGGAATACAGTGTGTGTGTGTGTGGGGGGGGGGGTCATTTATAGAGCAAATTTGTCCCTAGTGTGCAGTAGAAAAAGCCTCACAGAGGAAATCAGCGTAGATGTAGAGTAAGCAGTGAGTAAGCATTATCTAACAAGCCTTACCAACCATTAGGCTACTAAAGCTCTACCGTTGTAAGTGCAGCGGTTATTGCTATATTACAATATACACATTAGTGCAGCAATCACTTTTGATAGTCAGGGACCTTTTAGTGCCAATTAACTAAGAGCTTTTAGGCCTTTTCCAGATGTCGCTGAAATAGATATGACACAGAAAACTTCAAAATAAAACTCACCCTATAGACAGATTTCCCATGTATAAATAACTAAGATGCACGCACAGCAGGTGGGTAGAAAACACAATGTCATGATAGCGTATATGAACATTTAAAGTGAATGGTGGAGGTGGAAATTACAGATCGCTTTGCTGATTCGAATCATTTCAGTTCATTGTAAGAAGTTAGTTCCCTTTTTAGTTCATGCTTACATAAGCCGGGTCACATTTTGTTCTACAGGAAGACAAAATGATTGGATTTCAATAAAAAAAAAAAAAAATACAAAGAATTTGAGTTTTTGTAAATAGGGGTACAATATAACATTTTTACTTCCACCTGGGGTTTATAGGTATGTTTTCATTAGTGTATAATCACTTGAAAATAAGGGCCATTGCATTTTTGTTACCTTAGAATGAGCCGTTTTTATCAACAGAGGGAGCGGGTATTCTTCTTCAGAGTCCGCCATGTTGAACCGCCATGTTTCTAACAGTTGGACAAAGCACACACCGGCTGTAGATAGGGCCTTTCACGTCGGTCGAAAGCTTTGCATCCACTGTAGTTTCTCGTACACGCCTGGAGGCTGAGCTGTATTCAAGTGGTTGCAATTTGTAACTTTACTGCTAGATGCTACTGAATCCTACACACTAGTCCTTTAGGTTCAGTATATTGCTGGTTCAAGCTCAGTTCTGTTCAAGGCTCTTCAAGCCCTGTTTAGATAGTCCGTAGCTGGGCAACAGAGTAATGACTTCATGACTGTGTCAGTGGGATTTGTGGTCTTTTAATGAAGTGATGTACTGTGTATCATGTCAGACACCAGCGCTTTAGTCTCCAGTTGGAGGAGCTCCACTGCTAAAAGATACACTGATTCAGTGAGTTCACTTTAAAGCCGAGGTGTTGAAGAGTGACTCGTAGATTTAAGCTACTTGACATCTCTAGTGAATGGAGCAAGTAGAGATGTCCAGTCAGATTCTGTGATGTGGTCACAGATTTCCATGAAACACCAGTAACATTGACTGACATCTGTCAGCTCGAGCTAACATTACACTTCGGCTCCAAGTAGGAAACGGCAATAAGCTTCCCCTTAGTATTATTAATCAACAGCAGGGGCTCATGGAAGGTGACTGTGATTTATTTTCTCTGAAATACACAAGATGCATTTTCTATTCAATCACATACTGAAACACTCTAAACACATCACCAAACTATTGATCTTAAAGTAATATTCACATTTGTAATATTCTTAAACAGCCATTAATACAATGTGAGCTGTTAGACCAGAAAACAGGCATTTTTTCAGTCAAGTTACTAAACAAAACGATCCACTACCTTATTAAAATCCAGGGCTCTGACCAGATGACTACATGCTAATTGCTAATTATGCATTCTGAGCTAACAGACTGCACAATTGGCTTGGCGTATCAAACACTGTTCATGCATTACGTCAGTGATTCGTGCAGTTTACAGCACAGAAGAAACGTCAGTTGATCTCCCTATGACCTCTGAAAACAAGAAAACCAGATAGTGTTAAAATAAGAAGAATAAATCTGAGGATCTTGTCATCTATCATCATAGCTACAATGAACAAAAGTAGAAAACTATCATGCTTTTTCCTTATTCTATCAAAATGTACATTCTAAGTATATATTGAAATGTAGCTTAAGAAAGTGTGTCATTTCTGTATAAAAACATGTAAGTAACTGATCTGGTAACATAACTGTGTATGTATCCGTCAGTGAAGGCCTCACAGTCTCTTGTGTGGATTCATGTGTGCAATCACTGCCATCTAGTGGAAAGTAAGTGCAATACAAACAACAAATCCAATTTATTCCACTGAATATGACTGCTCATATCCTCAATATTACATGACATGATTGGGTGTAGGACAGATCAGAGGCTGATCATGTTGTGGGATGAAATAAAATCTTTCTCAGCACAATGAAACATTTCACAGCTTAGCCGCCTATTGCACAACAGCCCGAGCCAAAGACACAAGAGTTTGGCTTTAGACAGCAAACAGTCCTGTTAGTAGATGATTTCTGGAGTCACAAAAACAAATCTGTAACATCACAACCTGAGTGAGGTGTTATTAACTAATGATTATTACAGCACAGCACATGTTTCACAAATGAAACACTGACAAAGAGAGCTTGTATTGCTGCAGGAATAAAATGTCAGAATCAAACTGAATCCATTTCTTTGTCTACAACAGCATTCTGCTAATTACTTAAACAAACACCATATTGTCACTTAATATAGTTTCTCTTCACATATTCATGTATTAAATCATATCTATGGTCATACTGACAAATGTGCACTGTTACAGCATACTGTAGAAGAGTGATAGTATAGCATTCTCAGTGTAATTACTGCAACACATTACACTAGAAATTATTGATGGTAAAATCAACTCCCACTCAGTGTTAATTGCTTTAGTGCAAATTTAGTTACAGTACGGTTTAACAAACATTTCCAGAGAGGTGTTTTTTTGCTAGATGATATTAAACAATATGCAAATATTGCAGTCATGTCATTAAACTGAATTAAAATCTTATGTGGAAATAATTTACAGATGCTCACTTGTTAGCAAGCTGCACTCAAATGAACACATTAACAAAGACATAAAACCAGACTGGAAATGCATATATGCCATAAAATAGGTCATCCATATATTTTCTGTCTACATTTCTAGACATATAAGCTACAAAAGTTCTTCTCCATGTATGCACTACAACGTACAACGCAGAAGTGTCACATACTGAAAGTATCAAGAAACAGAACTCTGTATAAAGAAAGAGCCAGCTCCTCCATTGTACATGTGTGTGCTTACATGTGGGTCTCAGTGTCAGTACAGCCCAGCAGGGGGCAGTGTTATCTGTTCCATTACATCACAAAGTCAGGGACTTTCACTCCATCTCTCTGAGTTTTCAGTGCTTCCTACACATTGCACTACAGTCTGATCATTCTGGAGGGTCGTACAGAGAAGCAGTGGAACCACTGATGTGCTGCACTCATCTGGTGTCAATTACTTCAGGCTACAGAAACTCTTCTTCTTTCACATACAGGATCTCATGGGCTGAGCTGGGAACCTGAGAGAGGGAGAAATAAGGAAAACATTGGTGGCATACAGATACATTGAATAAATGAGTGATGAGTGTTTATTAAAACTGCATTTCAGCACACCTCTTACCTCAATGAATTCCTGCTACTATTATACCATGGTTTGGGTGAATACTCGATTACTAGTAGATAAACTTATGGCAATGTAATGATTGTTCCAGGTATTAATCAAACCTGCAGGCTGTACCAGGGAAACAGAGGTACGGCTTGTGAAAGAACGTATGAAAATATAAATGGTCTTCATTCTTTTTCTTTGGCAGTTGACCTTGATATAAGTGGGATAATATGGGTCATCATATTCTTCATGTTCATCATCATCATCACCATCAGCCACTACTATTAGTGTAGCTGTTGCTACTGTTGTTGCTGTGCACCTTTGTCTCTGTCTCTGTCCTTCTGTCTTTACCTCTGTTCTTTTGTATCTCTCTCTCTCTCTCTCTCTACCCCAACTGGTCGAGGCAGACAACCACCCACTTAGAGCCGAAGGGTCTGTCCTAGGTTTCTGCTTCTTAAAAGGAAGTTTTTCCTTGCCGCCGTCGCCAAGTCCTTGCTCTGTTGGGTCTTTGTAAATAATGTTATAAAGAGTTCGGTCTAGACCTGCTCTATTTGAAAAGTGTCCTGAGATAACTTCTGTTATGAATTGGCGCTATACAAATAAAACTGAATTGAATTGAATTAATGCCCTTCGAGGTGTCAATAATCAGGAATTTCTGTGTTAATGGCACAATTCTGAATTTCTACATTGCTATACTGCTGTTGCTGTTGCTGTTGCTTTTCTTACCAACAGGTGGTGCAGCTTGGACTGAAACAGCAGGTCCAGAACTGCAGGTCTGAAAGTGCTGACACTGTGGCTCTGTGACTGGTTGACAGGTTTGGGCCCAGTTTCAGATGGTTTGCATTAATGACACTGTGTCCTTGTTTTCTTCTACTGAGACACCATGTACAGTATCACTTACTTAATGTTCACTTTATGCAACTTTATTTCTATCAGTTGCACTAGTCTTTAAGTGTGATACTGACCAAACCCTATTTCCTTCATATTCCAGAGCAATGAACTGGTTGAAACTGCACAGCAATCCATTTATTTTGAATCCTTTCCAATTATGATCGATGCTTTACAATCCACATAGATATATAAAACTGATGTGACTCCTGCAAGAATTGATTTCTGATACCCAGCCTTGCATAACAGACAGCTGAGCCTCCACTGTGACTGATTTGGAGTTTGGGAGTCGATATATATCAGAGACTTTAAGATTAGAAAACAAAAAACACTTCTTTCCCTTTAAAAGAAAAAAGTTACAGCTTTCACTTCGTACTTTATCATAAATAATTACATTATGTGTGAAATCCTCATATTTGAATTCTGAATCTCTCTCCAGTTGATAATCAGGGTTAATTAGGATGAGATATAATTGTGTAATATATAAATGTATTTTACGCCAAAAGCATGCAAGTTATAAAGGAACAACCCTCTGTATGTTGGACTCAAATCAGGAGGTGATGCCATATCTCTGTGTAGGTTTGTCCGATTAACATGAAACTGGGCCTTTAATTTTCCATGAACCACTAAGGAGCTGTGCCAAATCTGCCACGAATGGGCCACTAGGTGGCACTTTTATAGCAAAATCATGAAATATGCTAAACCTACTTTTTCAAACTCCTCCTACTTTTCAAACATGTCCTGTCACTGCGAAATGAGTCACTTTTGCGAGCCAGTCTGTAAGATTCTGTCTGACCTCAGTGAACATTTCAAACAGTGCTTCTCTGGTAACTGGTATTTTGAGTCAATGGTTTATAGCAGCTTTTTAAAATCATTCTTATTCCACTCTTGCAACGGGGAACATATCTTTAGCGATGTGGTAGTCCATAGCCTTAGTTATTTCACGCCACCTGGCACTTTTCTTTTCAAAAGACACACCACGGGTAAATAGGCTCGCAACAAGCTTTGTTTCTGGGCAAAAGGTGCTGAAGGTTGCAGCCGCAGTATGAAGTTTAACACTCTCTCCTGAAGTGGTGGAAGAGATTTGAAGTGCTTCCACTTTTGGATGCAACCTGTTCATGGCAATCTCAACAGATGCTATGGTTCTGCTGCCCATCTGATCTTTTAAATCCAAACCATCTCCAAATTATATACAAACCAGGCCTGTGGACCAGCATGTGTACCAGCACTGTCTCCCCCACCCTGGTGCAGGAGAACTCGAGAGTGTGTGGGTGCGGGGTTGTGCAGAGAAGGTAGGAGAGGAGAGATGCAAACACTGGCATGGCTTTACAGAAGAAACGGGTTGTGTATGTTATTTGATGTGACATCCAACCTATTGTCATGTAACAACATTGTCTCATCATATCTTATTTGATAATGTATCAGTATACCTTAAAAAGTCAATATACCACCAAACCCTACTGTCATGTACAGTGTGTAAGGCAGGGACAGATCTGTGTAGGCTGATCAGTGAGCAGTTAGTCAGGCAGAACACTAACCTACTTACAAGCTCCTACCCCCAGCTGTGGAGGGCACTCCACACTAAGGCGAGGGTATAAATAAATAGGTAAACTGGGACACACTTGTCACTCACAATGAGCAGGAAACATCTGTCACCATGAATACTAGTAGATGTATTACTGCTGTTACTAGCTGCTGAGTTCCTGAAAATATGTTCTGCATATGTACGTATGTGTTACATTCACTTAATTTAGGGCTTAATTTAGCACAAGTGTACCTGGTTGACTCCTCCCACCACCAGGAGGCGGTCTCTGATGACGATGGAGGTGGTGGAGCATCTGGGAAAGGTCATGGGAGCCAACCTCTCCCACTTCTTTCTCTGAGGATGAAAGGCCTCCACTGTGTCCAGGGCTGAGGGCTCATGACCTGGAGAGCAGGCACACACCCAGAGATATCAGACTCCCTCGTGTTTTACTTCTGCACACTGACTGGCTTACAGGGTATTTCTGTATTTCTCTCACATTTTACAGGAGATCTAACAACATAAAGGCATCAGGATTTCATTTAGCTCACAACATTGCTGCTAGTTATTGTTCCAGACTTAAGTTTTGACATCATGATCAAACCTGTAATCAAGTGCAGCCAATATTATAAATAAAACAAAGAACGGCATAGTTTCCTTTCATTTTGTGATCATGAGCCTGTTCTTGCTGGATTTCTTTTTTGCTGCTGAATTTGCTGTCAGATACATTCAGTCACGTAAGAACTTATCAGTAGGTTACTTTTAACCCATCAGATTGTTCTGACATGAATTATGTAACGTTAATGCAGCAAAATTCAATCAATATAAACTGCAGTGTGAAAGCAGCAAACAGAAACATTAGTTTACGATGTATCACTCTTACCAAGTCCTCCAGCTACTATCATCCGGCCACGCAGGAAAGCGGCGGCAAAGTCAGCTCTCTTTGTTTTCATCGCCACCGTCTCCTCCGACTTCAACCAGGCTCCTGCAGGAGAAGAAGAAACGACAGCTGAAGTGAGCAGGTTGCGCGTGTTTGTGTGTGCACAAGCTTATGAAGTAGCTGAAGGTGAAGTCAGATGCTCCTTGGGCTGGACAGAACGCTGCTGAGCTTGTTTTCAGACTGTGACCTGCACAAACAGGTCACCCACAAGCCAGCTGCAGCCAGGACGTGTACAGTGCAGACGCACACTTACACCTTGCAAGGACACTCAAAGGTTATATAACAAACACAGAATACAAACAGAGACAGAGAGGGGACAGGAAGATTGGAGTCAGACCACTGCTAGGGAGAGAAAGTGGGCATACTGTTGTCAGCCTGTTGGCCCATTATTTTCAATTGCACTTTAATGTAAAATTGTTATCTACTGCTGGGCTTTCTTCCTATGTAGCAGGTACGGAAAGGGGTAAGGACTGGGTCGTAGGTCTAAGATGGCTATTCTGACCTCTGAAGTTTGACACAGTGTGCACAACAGTATCCCAGATCAGCTAGCCAACTGCAGGCTACAGTTCATTTGAAAACCCTTAAGGACACCAGGTATACTGGTTCCAGTCAGACTGCGAGTGTAGTACTGTGCATTGTTGGGCAAGTTACTGAAAAAGAGCATATTAGATACAGTTAGTAGTTACTTCTCTCAAAAGTGAAAGTAATTAGTTACTAGGTACAGTAACTTTTGCGTTACTTTTAAATGTAGTTAAAATGTAGTTTCTACTTAATGCTGTCGGATATATTATTTTAGTCAGTTGCTAGAACAGTGAGGCATACATGATCCATCCATAACATCTGCTACTGCTAGGATAGAAGCTCCACTGCTGGGATCTGAACCCGGGTGCATGCAGGTGCAATGCTGAGCAAGTTCTTTTTTCTAATGCCACCACAGACAAAGCTTTAAGCACCTTTAACCCCAACACAGAAACAACATTGTAAAAAAAAACACTTGGAAGGCATTACAGTTTTAATTTAATCTCCCCAATTACCTAACACCTAAGACTGACAGTGAAAGCACTCTACAAACCTTATGCAGTTTGAGTAGAGCTGACATTTCCTTCACACTCCAAGCTGAAGGACTCCAGATGATAAAAAGTGTACTTGAGAGTGGTGGAAATGAAAACATTGCCATCAAAATGCACCTTCTCTTTTCCCTGAAGATTCTGAAGAAGTTTTCTTTTTTTCTTTTTCTTTTTTACTTTTTGGTTTTGTTTGCTGCCAAGTCTTGTTTATCGGAAGGAAACCCAGACTGGAGAGAATCGTGACAGAGGAAGAAAGATAACTTCATCAGGGAGCGAGGGAGGGTGAGGGTAGAGAAATAGAAAAGAAGATAGAGATGGAGCAAGACAAAACCGTACAATTGCCTTACTCTTTATCTAGCTTCTGTTTCTGGATCTATATTGTTTTTATCTTTTCTCATACTTGTTGTTTTTCCATTTTATTTCTTCTATCCACCTTCTCTCCCCTCTTATTCTCTCCCATGGTCCTCTTATTCTATTTTCACTCTCTTCGTCTCCTTTTGCCTTGCTCTTTCTCCCTCTCCCTTATTTATTCTCAATCTTTTTCTTAAACAAGTGGCAGAGACAACAAGGTGGAGAGAAACAAACAGAGGCAGAGAGAATGAGAGAGAGATAAGTAGCCAGATGGTGAGCCTTCCTGCATGTTGCAGCAGTGTGTAATGAAGAGCTGTGTTTTCCTTTCCAGCCTGGTTAAATTACACTGAAGTGAACAGAATAGAGATCACAGCTGGCTGTCCACTCTCCTCTGTTCTCTCAGAGGAAAATCCTCCTACTGGTATGTAACAGACCTGAGATGTTGAATAAATTCACCAGGTTATGATGTGGTTAAGAATAAGGCTATATACTGCACAAAACATGTAGTATTGTAGTAGGTATGGTAAGATTCACTAATTCGCATCAGCGCACCAACATAAAAGTTCAAGATGCAATCGCCCTGATTTACGTGTGTGCACCAGATACAATTTGGGATGAACTCTGGATGCACAGTTCCTAACATCTTTGCATCGGTAAAAAACTATTTATTTATATATAATTATTAGTAGGGGCTGTCATGGGGATTCCCCGTGACCTGTTACTTAAACGAGACACAACATAGAGTGCTTGTCCACCTCAGCCACTTACATACCATCTAGCCAGCAGGTGTCTGGGGTTTGGTAATTAGTACAGATGTTGGGTTGAAACATGGTGAGGGAAATTGTATTATGTTTGAGTTACATTAGATCTGGAAGGAAGCCTAAGGAAATATTTGGGTTTTAACTTTGTCCATTTGATTAATTTGTGTTTCTCACCTCTCATCTAGATTGCACTTGGCCATCTTCTGATTTCTCCTTTTATGGTCAGGTTCCTGGGGGAATGTGCCAAGTGTAGTATAGATGAGGGGGAGATTTAGGAGGCGTTTGGGAGATTTGTTATTTTGAACAGTTGGGATCTATTTTACTCTTCTGATATGTGTAGTGAGTTCTTTCTACTGTTGACCTATAAAACTTAACTATTGGGTATTAGACAAATGAATGCTAAAGGTTAATTGTTTTTTATTAATTGTTGCTTCCTGTGGTAGGAGGAGCTACCGCACATATAAGCAGGAGTTGAGGGTTCTCCAGGGGAGACTAGTTTTGAGGATGTTGGTGAGCAGGCCACACGGTTTGTTAGCTGCCAGGGGCCCAAGCTTAAAAGGGGTATAGCCCTGAGCAGAGTTGAGGTTTTCTTTTTGATACCTCTAGTTACCTTTGTCCTAAGTTGTTTTCATTTTTATTTAGTTTGTTGTTTTCTTCGGTTTGGGCCAAGCTGATCCTCACTGTAAATAAGTGGCACTGATCCACTGCTTGGGAAAAAGGGACATAAAGAAATTTGGACTGACTGAACAGTTTCAAGGTCCCTTCCTTCCTGCCTTTGCCGCTCGAGCAATCTTACAGGGGCCCCATGCCTTTATTATCTGGATATGTGACAGATAATTGTATATTCAGACTCCTCCTCTCCACCTGTTTCTCTAGTTGCCTAAAGATGCTTTTTGCTGAAACTTTCACTACATCCTGACAGTAGTACACGAGACAGATCATCTGTGAAGAAATCAGTGCTCCTAATGGCATTTGCAAGAATCTACACATTTGCACTGGGTTTGAACAAAAACAACCAATCAGCAAATAAGACAAAAACATATATTTTTTAATAAAATGTACCTACTGCAGCTTTAAGAAGAACCAAATAAATCAAATTAAATTAAACTATCTGTACCATATTGAACTACACAGCATCATACTACAGATGGGTAGATTTTATAATCAGGTCGCTGGCAATACATTGAGATACGCATAAACATTGGCCTCAGTGATGGAGATGCACATCCCTAGTATAGAAACATTTGAAATGATCCCAACCTGGTTAATAATTGTAATTGAACTTTTCCAATATGCCTCGTCTACTTCACTACATTTCCGAGAATGCCTTTCAACAAACACCTAGCCAACTCCCCTGGATCAGAGTGCACCTGCCATCACTAAAGTTGGGTGGTCAGTCCAATTTGAGTTCTTAATAACTATTAGAGCCTTAGACCAGCCCACCACAGCGGGGGCTGTCGCTCCAGGAGGAGACGGAAGAGAGTCGGATAGGAGCTGTAATGGTAGATTCAGTTTCTTTGTTTCAGCCACTGCAGATGCCCAACCTCCCCCTTCCTAACACAAGATGCCAGGTCCTTTTGTGTTTTGTAGATTGTGATGTCTGGACTTGGCTTTGCACCTGAATGCAAGATCCTGTAGGACACCTCATATGTAAAACACACCAGCAGGGGGTCGGCCCTGATGTCTGCAGTGGGCAGAGGGGTGGGAAAGCACTTCCTGGAAGGCCAGACCCCTACAGCAGACAAAGGGGTGTGAAAGAGGTGGTCCTCAGGTATAAATGTTTAGATATCCCCATGTTCGGGGTCCTTCTTCATCTTTGACCGCTCGTGTGTTGATTGACCTTTTCTTTGCAAAGAAAATAAACTTGTCGGCCGGCAGAAGTTCTCTATTTCATTCTTCACCAGCAGCAGAGAAATTTCCACAACAATTTGGTGTCAGAAGTGGGATCCCTCGAGCGATCGTCTGGGACGGGACGCGGACAGTGACAGGCCATCCTGGAAGAAAAACTTTTCAGCCTCCAACCTCAAAATCCTCTTCTGAGAAGGGAGGACTGATCGCAAACGTCCCAGATCGTCGCCGCTGGGATTTCCACAAACGCAATTCGACGAAATTCATCTGGTGAGCACTGAAATATTGACATTTAAATTTCTTTTCTTTAAATTTTGGGTTTAAAATTGGCTAAATATTTCCGTTTCTCACATATCCACAATCGATCTGCTTTTTGTTGCTTGTAGCCTTAAACGAAGTAGCCAGGTCTTTGTTGCTTGTTCCTTAAACGAAGCAATCAGGTTTTTAAATCACTTGTAACCATAAACGAAGTGATTTGCTTTTTTTCACTTGTAGCACAGACAAAGTGATCAGGTCTTTGTTGCCTTAAACAGGTCTTTGTTGCTTGTTCCTTAAACGAAGTAACCAGGTCTTTGTTACTTGTTCCTTAAACGAAGTGACCAGGTCTTTATCACTTGTTCCTTAAACGAAGTGACCCTTTACAGAGACGTCTGTATTGTAATAGTTGTGCACGACCTCCATTTGGAATGGGGAGTAAAAGCTCTGGCGGTTGGACCTCCGGAGGGGGCGATTGTGGATGTTATGAGAACGAAATATGGGGATAAAAGTTTAAAATATTTAAATGTCTGGACAGCTGAGTTTGGATTCCCAATAGGGGGATCCCTCAGTTTTGTTTTTTTATTTTTTATTTTATTTTAAAAACATATCGATATTAGAAGAAAAACTGAAGGGAAAAGAACAAAAAATGAGAAGGAAAAATAAGGTTTCTGTAAGAAAATTAGAAAATATGGAAGGTCAAAAAGAATGTTTTCAGATGTGGAAAGGGGAAGCAGAGACACGAGATAGGAAAAGAATGCTG